GCAAAACTCTGCGAATTGGGTGGGTCTATCTGCATACAAATTTTCTGTGCATGTATTTGAAATATGTAGTGTTCATTTTCAAAGTTTTTAATGTAAAAACCTTTTCTGTTTTTTTGCTACAAGTCCGCGGAGGCATCTGACGAACGTTACTGGCGTGACGTTGCCAAATTCCGCGATTATAAAATCCTTAAAAATAGACTGATCATTTTTTTAGGTCAGTTCGAATATGTCTGATAGATATGGGGATTAAAATTTTTTAAAGGAGAATTTTTTATGGCAAGAATTTTTGTAGTTCTATCTCTTTCCTGAGTAGAGTAATAGAAAAAAACAAGGTATGTCTGATAAAAACTTACAAAAAAAAGTGAGCTTTGCTTAAAAAATGTGAATAGGTTTTCAGCCCCAAGAAAACGCTTAATGAAAGGTGGGTTATATGTCAATAAAGTAGAAATTAGATTATCCCTTTTAATAAATTCAGAAAAAATGTCCGAAATAAATTAAATGTAAATCGGTTTTTATTGACTTTTCATGATTTTTGACCTGGTGGACTTTTTGCCCATATGTGCTTTGTCTCGGATCCGACCATAACGTTGCTAACCCGAACCGTTCCGCTCACTATACCTGAAGAATCCTACCATCCTACATTCGAAGTGTTGGTCGACATTAGGTCTACTGTATTGGGTCGAACGGGAAGGCTTTCTGAACGAAGCTAAATATCCTCATTAGGGATTTCGATTGGTCCGCTCTGTACTTGTGAACTGACGTTATGAAAGACACAAACATTTTTTTTATGTACTTGACACACTTTTTGATTCTTGTGTCCCACTTTCTTGTCCGGTTTGTCAAATAATTATCGAGTCTAAACAACTTAAAATCAAGACTATAAAAACTTTCGGGAAGTTGGTTCTCTTTCTTCTCTCTCTCGCTATGTTATAGCTCGGTCAAATTTCTCCGTACTTAACGCAATGCTATACAAATTACCTATCTCGATACGATTTTCACCTAGAAAGTTTTACAGCTTCGTAAATAGTAAGCGTAGGACGTCCGCACATCCATCCTCGCTATCAATTTCCCAACATGTCAGCACAATGATCAGGCTATTGCCGATCTTTTTGCCAAATATTTCCAAACATCCTATTCTCAGAAAAGCTAACCTGGTGATTCGTATCCATACAGTTTACCAAGGTCAAACGGCGTTTTCAGCACCTTGTTAAATGAAAGCTCACTGCTTCATGATCTTCGACTAGTTAAGCCGGTGTTTTCACCAGGTCCTGACGGAGTTCCCGGCTGTGTACTTAGGGACTGTGCCGACGCTCTGTGTGGACCCCTGCTTAAACTATTCACCCTATCCATTAACTCTTCATTCTTCCCCCCAATCTAGAAGTAATCTTTTTTTATTCCGCTCCCTAAGAAAGGTAGCAAATGCTACAAAATAATTATAGAGGTATATCTAATTTATCCGCTATTCCAAAAATGTTTGAAAAAATTTTAACTCCGCATTTGCAACATTGCTGCAAATCGCTTATATGTCCATTTCAGCACGGATTTATAAGGCGACGATCAACAACCACAAATTTATTAGAGTTTCCTCTTTTATCATTAAAGCCTTCCAAGGTAAGGTAACTTGCAGACGGATGTTATTTACACTGATTTCAGTAAAGCAATCGATTCTGTAAACCATTCTCTTCTAGCACAAAAACTTGACCTTTTAGGGTTTCCGCCCAATCTTTTAAGATGGATTTCTAGCTACCTTCGTTCTAGGTCTCAAAGGTCCTCTTCAAAAACTCCTCTTCACCTGTTAAGGTTACTTCTGGAGTACCACAGGGCAGCCATTTAGGCCCCCTACTTTTCACATTCTTTATTAATGACCTGCCTGCAGTATTAACAAACTCTTGAGTATTCATGTATGCGGATGATGTTAAACTCTGTGTCCACTATAAGGACATTTCATTTCACTCTCGATTGCAATCCGATCTCAATAACTTTCATTCATGGTGTTGTGCAAATATGTTACACCTAAATGCCTCGAAATGCAAAGTAATGAAATTTCATCGCTCCAGCCACTTAACTGGGATGCAAGTGGGACAGTGCCTCGTAGATTGCTTTTAATTAACCTTCCAACTTTAGTTAGTCGTAGAAAAATATTTGGGGTGATTTTTATGCACAACCTGATCAAGGGTGACGTAGATAACCCTGACTTGTTGAGCTGCATAAACTTCACGATTCCTATTAGATCTACTAGAAACTTTATTTCTTTGTTCCTTCCACTTTTTAGATCAAATTATTCCTTGCACAAACCATTTAGGGTCCTATGCTCGGACTTTAGTTCCCTCTACCATATCAGAGCCACCACTAATTCCCTTCCTCTTCTTAAATCTATACCTAACATACCTTTCTCGTAATTATAACTATTTCTTAGCTATCTTTGCATGTTTAGCTCTTTGAGTTGTGTTTGAAATTTAGTCTAACACCTATCTTTCCTGCATGCTCGCAATCGGTTCGGTAGCACGCGTCGCGCGTCATGCGGCAGCGCCCCTCGGACGCTTCATGGTGCAGTCATTGCATATCAACGTCCAGACAATAGTGTAATTTTGCGAAAACTAAGGCTGCTGGAGAAAAACTTCTATGGTTTTCATGGTTTGAAAAAAAACTCTACAAAGAAATGTTTGAAAATAATAAATAAATATGAATATAAATATTAACAAAATTAGGTTACTTTCCTTGTCATCAAGCACCCAAATCAGCTATTCTCAAGACGCACGTCTGCCAATGTGACCGCCTTCTCTTCTTCATTGCGTCTATTCCGATATCGATAGCAGACGCGCCCAGTGTTAAAAGGCTATTAATCAGGCAGGCTCCGGATTTCACATTCACTTAGCGTTTTACTTTTCAGCAAAATATCAAGGCGCTCTGGAATCTAATTTTTTGTGAATTTGTTTATTCTTTGTACTGTTAACTTTAATTTGTTAATTTACTCCTGTTATACAGGAGCCGTTAAAGCCGTTACTTTTCATTCCGGCGAGGAATTTGTTGCCGTTTTGAAAACGGAAAAGTCTTTACGAGTGCGGGAGCGCAGGACTTTTCACATTTTTTTTTTAAGTTAAACGGTTCCGGTGAGCCTGCCTGGTTAATGCTTTATTTATTTCATGAAAGTTGACGTTTTTAAGGTTAGTTTTAGAGAGTTTCCAATTCTTAGCAGGCAGACCTTTTAGCTGCATTCATTATGAGTATTCATGAGTATTTTAACAAAAAAATTACCAAAATCGGACAACATTTGAGCTGTCGCCACAATTTTGTCCAAAAAAATGTACCCTTCGATGCACTGTGCGTCGTTCCGCCACTGTCGCTCTGTTCTGTCTGCCGTAATAGTTTCTTGTTGTTGCATTCTGTGGCCTAGCTTTCCACATTTGTGACACGTCAGTGTCGTTTAAAATCTCTGCTTCTTCTTTTCTGGCTCAGAGAAGTCGAAATGTGCATTTCTCTTTCGATAGATGAATGTAGTTAATTGTTGCTGTAGGTCGCACCTGGTTCGTTTGTTTGTCGTATACAGTGCCTTCTGTACCCTAGTGTCGACCTGGGATATCTCCTCAAATGTCATGATTTTCCACTTCGACAGCAATCACGTCACCGTTCGACAGCCGTATCCCGACAAACTTACGTTTTCCTTTGGTCTCCCGTTCAGCATGTTTAGCAAAATGGAGGTTGGTGACTCGATGCCGGCAAACTGCTAAATGAATAGCTGCTTAAATTCTTGCCACGTCATCCCAATATAACAAATTTGAGAAAGCCACTGCGCTGCTTCTCCGGATAACGATTTGCTCAGCGCCATAAGGCCTAGTACTCAGATCCAAAAACTGTTTGCCAGCAAACAAATGTCATATATTCTTCGAGCGGCCAGTGTGTGACCAGAGGTGTGCACTGCATTCCGAACGGTTACACTCCTCAGACCGCTGCTTGGTTTTGTTTAAAGTTAATAAAATGCACTTCTTCGGCTGGGGCTGCTCATCCTCAGGCATATCCTGGGCTCTCCAATATTTTATTGGCAAGGTAATGTTCCTGACTATCAGCAGCAGCAGATGGCGACGCCTACCGTGCCGACCACCATTAAGACAAAATGTTTTGAAAACAATATTTGTTTTATATTTATGAAAATTAGTAAAAATAATAAATTATAATATCCATATAATTGTCATTCATATAATACAGTATTAATTAGATTCTATTTGTCTTCATTATTTAAATATTTCATTTGGTTTTTTGTTCTCATATTGCAATCTTTGCTTCGTGTTTGCTGGCAAAATATATCAAATTGATATAATTTTCGAGGTGGGTCGAAACATACCAGCAATACAAGCAAATACTTCGGATACTTTTCTAATATATACCGCCCTTTTTGTTTTTTTTTTTTGATCTGAGTACGGCAGTACGGAAGGCATTCCGTACAGAGCCTAGAAAACAGTTTTTGCCGTAAAAAATTTCTTATCGGTTTCATACGAATATCAACCCTGATTCTGTTCGCGAGGTGTTTTTTTCGATCTGAGTACTAGGCTTTACTAAAGCGCTGTCTTCCAATGGATTTTCCGAGAGAATCATATCCACAGTCTTGCACCATGAAGTCACATCGGCACCTTCCGAATTTGTTTGACATTTGGGTAGCGTCACTGTAGCTCTTTTGGGAGAAGCCGAATCTGACGCTCGCATTGCCATCATCAAGTCCATTAAGTTTTCGTTCTGCTCCCGGAGAATTGAAATTGTTTCTCCTGGTGAGGCCAATCCCACTTCTGATGTCGGAGACTCGGCTCCCTTATTAGTTTCGCTAGCCATCTTGACTTTTCTTTTTATAAGCGCTTAGCGCAGTTCTCTCTCCAACTCTGACTGACTGACCGACTGTAAAACTCACTATGGTTGCCACCTTCTCCTTTTAAACACTTTGACATACTCGGCTGAGAGCATTACTTTGTTGTCACGCCACGCTATCTGCAGCAACTCTACAACATATATTAAAAGTCCACACCAAAACTTCCCTTGATCCGTTCTTATTCTTTTTTATTTAATAAACCATATAATTACTTATGTCGATCTACGACAAATACATAAATCGCGATTTTTTATGTATTAATTTTGATGAATGTGTAAAGATCTGACTGACCAAATGCTTTGATAACGTGATAAACGAAAAGCAGACAGTTAATGTTGGGAAATGTGTACGAACAAAGTGAAAGTGAACGAATGGGTTGGAAGTTGTCTGTCTAGCTCTCATATCTGTTTACGGGATTCACTCTATTCTACAGAATGGACCGTGAACGAAACATGCCAGGCTAAGGGTCAAGTATAAGCCATTTGGACATTTACAGGCGATTGAATTACTAATGGGGATAGCGTCATTAATCCATGTCCACTGATTATCTAATGAGATTCTTTCGCTTTTTTTTATGGTTTTGCTTTTGCAGCTACTGCTTCAGTCGCCAGTTTATCCAGATGCCGTCAGTAAGCCACGAAGAAGAGAGAGCAGCTAAATATTCCTTTGCGGAAGTCAGATCTTTTCAAATCAAAGAAGGAAACACAAGCAATATGGCGCCCGAACCAGTCAAGACTGGACGAATTTTTATGGCCGCTGTTGCAGGTGAGTCAAGTTGTGATCCACTTGGCCCCAAACCATGTGCCTAACCTGCTCTGTAACTTTTTCCCCCAGCCAACTTGTCCGCATTTGTAGTTGGCATCTGCCTGGGCTGGACATCTCCAATTTTACCCAAACTCAAGACCGAAGATACTTCCGACTCGCCGTTGAGCAGGCCCATTACTTCCGATGAAGATGCCTGGATATGCTCGCTGATTGCTATTGGAGCGCTAATTTCTCCGTTTGTAGCTGGGCCTTTGGCGGACCGCATTGGTCGCAAGTGGGTGCTGCTCTCCAGCAGTGTCTTCTTCGTTTTGGCATTCGGAATTAATATGGGCGCCTCAGAGGTGTGGATCCTATACCTGTCCCGACTGATTCAGGGACTCGGCGTGGGGTTCGTGATGACTGTGCAGCCCATGTATGTGGGTGAGATTTGTACGGATAATGTGCGTGGAGCGACTGGCTCCCTAATGCAGCTGTTTATGGTGGGTAAGTCTCGATAGCTAGATATTTCACTTCCCTTGACGCATACTTAATTTCCCTCTTCCCCCTTTTAGCTGGGATTCTATATGTCTATGCAATTGGGCCATTCGTCTCGTATATGACTCTACAGTGGTGTTGCATTGTGGTGCCCGTGATCTTCGATGTGGTCTTCTATTTTATGCCCGAGAGTCCCCACTATTTTGCCAGGAAGGGACGCAAGACGGACGCACTGCGTTCGCTAAAGTTCCTGCGTGGCCAGAGCGCCGAGGGAGTGCACGACGAGTTGGCCGAGATACAGTCGAGTGTGGAGGAGGCCATGACCAGCAAAGGCACCATTATGGATATATTCAAGAATCCCGGAAATCGCAAGGCCTTGTTCATCTGTGCCGGCCTGATCTCCTTCCAGCAGCTGTCGGGCATCAATGTGGTCCTTTTCAATAGCCAGTCGATCTTTGCCAGCGCCAACACGGGCCTGGATCCCGCCATTGCCACCATTATTATTGGCTGCGTACAGGTGGCCTCATCAGGTCTGACGCCGATCGTGGTCGACCGACTTAGAAGGAAGGTGATGCTGCTGACTTCCGCCTGTGTGATGACTGTGGGTCTGACGGCACTCGGCGCCTTCTTCTACATGCAGCTGGTTGTGGGCGACATCTCCAGTGTGGTGTGGATGCCAGTGCCAGCGCTCGTCATCTACAACATTGTCTACTGCATGGGTTTCGGGCCCTTGCCCTGGGCCGTGCTAGGCGAGATGTTCCCGGCGAATATTAAGTCGTCTGCCTCGTCCATTGTGGCGAGCACCTGCTGGACAATTGGCTTTCTGGTTACCTATTTCTATCCCACTCTGGATGCCCTTGGTTCCTTCTACGCCTTCTGGCTGTTTGCCGGCTTCATGGTGGTGGCATTCTTCTTTGTCCTCTTCGTGGTCATGGAGACGAAGGGCCTCAGCTTGCAGGAGATCCAGGATCGACTCAATAGAAAGAGCGACTAAGCGATGGACCAATTTGTTAATATATGTACATATGTCGTTTAAGTCCTTTGAAGATCTTATATGTATATCTTAGGTCTAAACGAAACTATTTTATGGGATAGTTTTTAAGCTCAAAACTCCATTTTGTTAAACGGTTTGCCTGCTACTTTTCAAATAAAAAAATACTTTTTAGTAATATGAAGAATAATATGATATGATATTGTCTTATTTTATTTTTATACCTATACATTACGATTTATCAGTTTGAAGGTTAGATATTATAGGTCGACAAATTACGTATACATCTTAAATGCATTTCTGGGCATTTCTCTGACGAGGTCCACCGAGACAAAAAAAAAAGTCTATAAAAACACATTTCCATATATGTAATTCCGTAGCGATATTATAGTCTAAACTTATTGAATGACAACTAATTTACACAATTGACATATTATTTGATTAACTTAAATGTGAAAACCTATTCAAATATGCAAAAATTCACTTTTCCGGTAATTCCCTGAAATCTGAGTTTACCAAATGTACAACCCTTTTTCGTTTGCTTTGTTCCCAATTGGCAGTTTGGCCCGCAACCTTCCAAAAGGTATTTTTGTTCATTTTTTCCATATTTTAGGTTTGGTTAACGAATTTTAGCTCCAAAGTCTCTCCATAGATTTTAATGATCGATAACTTAAACGACGCCAAATTAATGCACCTATACACAAAAAAATGGAGGACACAGGTATAATTTTTTTCGACTTTTCCCGAGTTTTTAAAGTCAAAATTTGGTAAAAAAAATCCCGCACAAAAATCATCATTTTTGCATTCAATGCTTTATATTTCCCAGCGGTAAGCTGAAATCACAAAGTGTTTAAGCTCAACTTAGCTGTTTTAATTCTTCAAAATAGCAAAGTTCTTACAACCAGAAGTAAGATACTAGGGTTATGTGAAAAAAACAATCGCCACCTCTGAAAAAATGTTAAAAAAAAAATTCTTTAAAAAAAAGTTCTGCCATAGCAAAAAAAAAAATATCATCAAACCATTTCCAAGCCCCAAATCCTTAAGAAAAAGTTCGTTTTGTTCCTTGAGAAAAAATCGTGTTGACTAGTGTAATTATTAATACATACCTCATGTTTATAAGGCTGAATGAATTTTGCATGGATCAGCCGAAAAGTGTGCATCACTTTTGAGAACAGCTAGAGTGTAAAATACATATAATATGTTGTAAATCTCCCCCAGAGCTGTACAAAAATGTATCACAGAGACGTGTATATGTTTGTATTAGCAATTGAATAACTATTTGAAAAAGTTACAATTTTTTTGGATTTTTTAGCCGAATTTCTCGGAATTTCCGAGAATTTGGAATGCCACGATCATATTGTGATCCACAAAGTTTTATTTTTTGTAGAAGGATATGTGAAAACTAACAACAAAATGTAACCATATAACCATGTAATTATCGCATAATAAAATGTTTGTTCTATTGAGATTGCGAACTCAAGTAGCTACTCTACTAGTTCATAAGACTATTCTGATTGTATAGATGTATAGATTACTTTATATAGTATATAGTGATATTCTTAATTGACGCTTTCCCGCAAACGAGAGAACCTCTATAAATAACAGAGCGCTTATAATTGAGAGCTCAGTCGCATCGCGAATACTTTGATGATAATACTGTCGAAGGGAACACAATAGGAAAACTAATTTCACAATGGATCGCTGGTTGAATCGTGTTGCCGTCGTTACTGGAGCCAGTTCTGGCATCGGATCTGCCTGCTGCAAGGATTTAGTGGCCAAAGGTATGGTCGTTGTTGGCCTGGCCCGCCGCGTGGAACGACTTCAGGAGCTTAAGGCATCACTGCCAAAAGATCAGCAGCCGCGTTTCCATGCCCGAAAGTGCGACGTCAGCGTTGAGCAGCAGGTGGTGGATACATTCGCTTGGATTGACAAAACTCTGGGAGGTGCTGACGTTTTGGTCAACAATGCTGGCATCCTTGGTAGTTATAACATCACAGATGCAGGCAATTCTGCCGATCTTCGCGCTGTTCTGGACACCAACGTGCTTGGAGTTTCGTGGTGCACTCGCCAAGCTTTCCTTTCACTGCAGCGCCGCAATGTCAACGATGGCCATGTGGTGATCATCAACAGCGTTGTGGGCCACATCTTGCCAGTGGTCGACGGATTCCTAGATTGGAACATGTATGGACCCTCTAAGCATGCTATCACCGGCCTGACCGAGGTGCTGCGACAGGAGTTTCAACTAAAGAAGAAGACCGGGACCAAGATAACAGTGAGTCGAGAATGAGAAACTCCTCTGGCCAATCAATAATACTGCTTTTCATATGCGTCTCTTAGAGCATTAGCCCCGGTGTGGTCGACACTGAGATCCTTGATAAAACCATACGGGCATCGCCAGACCTTCCAATGTTACGTTCAGAGGACGTGGCCGATGCGGTGACCTACTGCATCCAGACCCCACCCAACGTGCAGATCCATGAGCTAATAATCAAGCCAGTGGGCGAAAAGTTTTAACAGCTCTCAAGGGCGGCAGTTGGCAGCTTTAGGACCTTATGGGAGTGGAGTACATACTACAAATTCCCAAGTGTTATTTCTGTCTGTAAATAAACGATAACAAATTATCACTTTTCAGGAAAAGCAAATACGTAAATAAATGCTGATTCGAATGAAATAAACAAATGATCGTATCAATATCGCTTAATAATTCTCTTGGCGTATGTTATTTTTTCGCATTCTGATATTTAATATGTACATACAGACATACATATGTATGTATATGTCTGACATGTAGTCATAAACATGTACTTACGTACATGGGCTTCTACAACTCATCTATGATGAGTTTAAACATACATATGTACAAATAAATGTATGTATGTTAAATCTACATAAAGTGGTCATTCTAAATAGAAGAAAGGCTAGATATATAATATTTTTTGCTGTTTTATCACGATTACATGACGTTTCAAACAAATAATTATGCCGCAAAACTCGTTTTCAGCAAAAAATTATAATAAATAGAGACGAATGTATGCGAATAGACTAACAACGAATTACTGGCATAGGGCGTACAAATAGGGAGCAGCATGTTTGTTATTGCGATCAAAGGTCCATCAAATAATACAAAAAAATTGTTTGTTATAATCAACTGAATAGAAACTATGAAATACTTTTAAATTGTTTTGTAAATACATACATGTACATATAGATGAAGATAATTAATTAATACCGAAGCTTACATATTGTAGCCCAGCGTTTGCTATCTCTCTATCGGCTTCTTACGAGCTACTCGGAGAGTCTAAGAGTATATTGTGTAGACGAGCATAAATGTATATTTAATACCTATGTCAATGTATGTTTAGTTCCCCAATAGAAAAGTTAATCTACATATGTACATATGCATATATTTAATTCTGAATATGCGGTATCTTAAAGTCGACTATAGCGCTCTTATTTTCCAAAGTTTCGGACTTTCGGCGATTCACACAGACAAACTAAAACAATTTCATAATGATACACTGATTGCTACACACATATGTATGTATGTACAAAGTTACGAATGTATGCTCATATCATCGTGATAATGATATTCTCTCTGAAGATTAATTTAACATTTATCCGGAGCTTTTTTCAATCGAGGGAAAATCGGCAAAAATTCTATAAATGGGAACCCGTTCACAGGCAAGAGCTCAATCGTATCGCGAACTCTCTAGAATAAACAGACTATTTTCATCATGGATCGCTGGTTGAATCGTGTTGCCGTCGTCACTGGAGCCAGTTCTGGCATCGGATCTGCCTGCTGCAAGGATTTAGTGGCCAAGGGTATGGTCGTTGTTGGCCTGGCCCGTCGCGAGGAACGACTTGAGGAGCTTAAGGCATCACTGCCAAAAGATCAGCAGTCGCGTTTCCATGCCCGAAAGTGCGACGTCAGCGTTGAGCAGCAGGTGGTGGATACATTCGCTTGGATTGACAAAACCCTGGGAGGCGCCGATGTTCTTGTCAACAATGCTGGCATCCTTGGTAAATTACAAATCACAGATCCAGACAACTCGGCCGATCTACGCTCTGTTCTGGAAACCAATGTCCTTGGAGTTTCGTGGTGCACCCGCGAAGCATTCCGTTCGTTGCAGAGCCGCAAAGTCAACGATGGTCATGTGGTGATCATCAACAGCATTGTGGGCCATAAAATTCCAATCGTACCCGGAATGGGCTTTAAGATGTATGCTCCTTCTAAGCATGCTATCACCGCACTCACCGAGGTACTGCGACAGGAGTTTCAGCAAAAGAAAACGGAGACGAAGATAACTGTAAGTTCGATGCTTCATAATTAAAATTTGTCAAATAATTAACTAGCGCTATTTCGACGCATAGAGCATTAGCCCTGGTGCTGTTGACACTGAGATCATTGACGCGAACATCAGGGAAGTAATGCCAGACTTCCCCATGCTGCGTGCTGAAGATGTGGCGGATGCTGTGACGTACTGCATCCAGACCCCACCTAATGTGCAGATCCATGAGCTTACAATCAAGCCAGTTGGCGAACAGTTTTAATGAGGTATTACCCATCCAGACAGATGGGTAAGATGCCTGCAGTGCAGCATAATCCAACCGAGAGTCCAGCAAGCTACTCTGTGTAGAAGGCTGTGGGGGATGGTAAACACTATGAACACTCGAAGCATTGGACTATTATTATGGGCGACACTGGGAACTTCCTATTCGGAGTATTGATTACTTTTAGAATGAATTCGTTTAATAAATAAAATAAATATTTTAACTATAATAAATTGACATTGGCTGTACGTGGTGACAAAATTTTACTTTTAGGGTAAATAGATAAAGAATTGGTGCCGATATGGAATACATATGGAAGCTCAGTGCCTTGCTGTCTATTCATCGTTATTTTACGAGGTACTCGGAAAATCTAAGGGTATACTGTAACAGATACATTTTGGAAGTTTACGACCCAAAGAGAATATTTAACTTCACCAGCAATGAAATTTGTCAAGCACACGCCATGTAGTACGTTCTTTTGGCTTTCTCCGACTTTAACTTTGGTGTAGAACCTACAGATCTGCAGCTACTTACGCAATGTGCTTTAATTTTTAATAAATAAAATACTTAAAATAAATTCCAGAGCAATGGTAGCGATGGGATCAGCTGGGCACCAGAACGTTCCCACCGCTGATCTAAATCTACATAAGGAATCGGTATCTTATAGTCGACTAAAGCATTCTGACTCGACATATATTTCCACATATACTAATCGTTTGTACGCTATCATCATGATACGCTGATTCGCACACAAACACTTACATACATATGTATGTATTCTCATATCAACGTGATAATGATATTCTCTCTGATGATTAATTTAACATTTGACCGGAGCTTTTTAGACGAAAGCTAATCGGCAAAAATTCTATAAATGGGAACCTGTCCACAGGCAAGAGCTCAATCGTATTGTGAATTTTCAAGAATAAAAAGACTATTTTCATCATGGATCGCTGGTTGAATCGTGTTGCCGTCGTCACTGGAGCCAGTTCTGGCATCGGATCTGCCTGCTGCAAGGATTTAGTGTCCAAGGGTATGGTCGTTGTTGGCCTGGCCCGTCGCGAGGAACGCCTTCAGGAGCTTAAGGCATCGCTACCAAAAGATCAGCAGTCGCGTTTCCATGGCCGAAAGTGCGACGTCAGCGTTGAGCAGCAGGTGGTTGAAACATTCGCTTGGATTGACAAGACTTTGGGAGGTGCTGACGTTTTGGTCAACAACGCAGGCATCGGTGGTAAATTTCAAATCACAGATCCAGACAACTCGGCCGATCTTCGCGCTGTCTTGGACACCAACGTGCTTGGAGTTTCCTGGTGCACCCGCGAAGCTTTCCTTTCGCAGCAGCGCCGCAATGTCAACGATGGTCATGTGGTGATCATCAACAGCGTTGTTGGGCCATAAAATTCCAGTTGTACCGGGATTTCATTTTAAGATGTATGCGGCTTCTAAGCATGCTATCACAGCACTCACCGAGGTACTGCGACAGGAGTTCCAGCAAAAGAAAACGCAAACGAAGATAACTGTAAGTGTGAAAATAAACAATTCCAATTAAGCCAATAAGAAATTATGAAAATTCTATACGACCCTCAGAGCATTAGTCCCGGTCTTGTCGACACTGAGATCATTGATGCTGACGCCAAGAAGTTATTGTCAGACTTCCCCATTTTGCGTGCTGAGGATGTTGCGGATGCTGTGACCTACTGCATCCAGACTCCGCCTAACGTGCAGATCCATGAGCTAACAATCAAGCCAGTTGGCGAAATATTTTAATGTGGCTCTACGCATTTAGACAGATGGGTAAGATGGCTGCAGCAATTATCCGATCGAAAGTCCAGCAAGCTACTCTGTGTAGAAGGCTTTGGGGATGGTAAACACTATGGATACGCAAGAGCCAATGCAACAGATGTAGAATGCACGCAAATGCAAATATTTCCTCGTGTGAAATATCAGGTTAAACATTCGAAGCTTGGGACTATTATTATTATTTTTTGTGATTTTGTTCTGAATATTCGTTTGATTTTTTACAATTAACATTTATTAAATCACTTCAACACATTAGTTCACTGAAGGAAGTACAGAGCCTTTTAGTTGTAGTTAATTACAATACGTCATGGTTAGGGGGTATACTAGTATAACTCTTTGTCTGTATAAACACCAATATTTTTAGGTTTCTCATTTTCTGTATCACAGTTACATGGTTATTACAAACGTGAGGTGTGTGTGTGTGTGTGTGTTTTGAACGCATACAACTAGGATAGACAACACATATCGATACACACAGCGATATACATACATATATACATATATGTATCTCTACTCGTATAACTAGCATATAAAGTAACTACATATGCTGGCGCCACTAGGGGGGGTGGCAGCCCAAATTAACATCTAATAAAAGTTCCGAGTATAAATATTTGTTGATTACAGTTAAGTACATACAAACAGCATTGGCTAAAAACTAATAATACCGTCATCGTACAGTCCTACCGACAAAGACGAGCCCAGTACCTCCGCTAGCTAATTGCTTCAGTTTACAAATTCCTATTCACCTGGCTGAGGGGCATCAAACGTGGAGCAATAATAGAACTTAAACTCGCACTCGCACGAGAATATTGCAACCGTTTGAAGTCTTTTGGAAATAGCACACTAAAGAAAAGTTTACAACTATTTCGTCTGCGTTCGCGTTGCTTAAATCTACCAAGTACACAAGTACACATACAACTAGAGTATACATATAGAGCTCGCACAACATATCTGTAAAGTTATATACTATATGCTGGCACATATATGTACATGTATATGCATCTAAATGGGTTTAGGGGTCAGGGCAGGCCTTGGAGCGATGCCCAATGTCCGCTAGTAAAAATGCAGTTGCTTGATTCTCCCACTGGCACGAACAACAACAACAACTCCCTGGCCGGCAATTGTAACTAACTCAATTTGATGTAGACGGATACGTTTGATATTTGCACTCTCGCAGCGTTTGGAATGAGTGCTCAAAGTCGTTCGGCAGCGACCCCAATGCATGTGCACTTTCAGTGCCCGAAATAGTTTTGATCAGGCTGTTGGAGTTGAGCGATTCCAATTCGTGTGTCTCCGAATTAGCCAGCTCAACGATGGCCGAACTGGTAGGGGTCAGCAGCTGCTCACTGGCAATCACCTGGCTGGGCTTACTGAAACCCAGAAAGAGTTACATATGTCAAAAATGCTTTGGTTTAAGATCAGAAGGAAGCAATCCGCTTACCGCTCGTAGAACTTGCCGCTGGCATTGTGACGCTTGCGCCACAGTGGCCATGTTAGCTGCAGGAAACCATGCTGCGGTCCCGCCACTCTGAGCAGGCTCATTAGGAAGAAGGTTGCATATAGCCAGCTGATGACCATGACCACCACCAGGAAGACACCAATCTGTATGTAGGGCAGTATGTTCGATGCCATCATAATGCCACCGGCCATGCCCGTTGTAGTCGCCGCCATCACCGTCGGTCCGATAATGCGCGATAGCACAAACTGTGTGGCTGCAATCCGCTCCTTGATTGGCGACATCCGATAATGAATGCCATAGTGCAAGCTGAAGTCCACCGCCAGACCAATAGCTGTGCTCACGGCGATACTCTCCAGTATGTTGAGCTGCCATCCGAGCAGTATGAGCACAGCAACGGTGTTGAAAATGCTCAGGGAGACGGTAAGCACGGCGTAGATTGAGATGAGCAGATTGAGGGTAAAGCACAGCAACACAAGGAGCGAGGCGACCATGGCCAAGGTAATCGCGACGATTGTGTCATGGGAGAGCGTGTCTTGAACATTATAGAACTTTAGGTCGCTGGTAAACCACCCGCCACGCAATTCCATGGGCGCTGTCTTTAATTGCTGCTGAAACCAGTGCTCCACGTTCTCGTAGAACTCTTTGATGTTTGCATAGACAGTGCTGAAGGCTACGTTCGACTCGAATTCAATTACCAGCGCCTTGACCGAAAGCGGCATGGCGGTGCCATTGGTGCCGGCTGACTCTAAACTATCATTGGCACTGATACCATAATAATCATCCTCTTCCAGTCGGGTGGTCGCTGCAAACTTCGGTCCCGCCACACCAGGCTGGAAGAACATGGTTGTGTCATAGAGATTGGACACGCTTTGCGGTAGGCACAGGTCGAAAATGTGAGGTTCGTACGGGAACTGGGCGTCGCAGCAGGGCGAGCGATCTTTTCGTGTGATATCCATGTCATCGATGCATCTGGGGAATAAATTTGCTCATAAATATTTAATTAATTAGTTAAATTAATTAGCTCTCACCTGCGCTTCATGAAGTCTATGAGGTTTTCAATAAAACAATTGGGTAGCAGCATGCCAAAGGTCTCTTGATAAAACGGCTGCTGCCGCACGCTCTGGCAAAAGTCGAGGATCCAGAGCTGCGATGGCTTGCTGGATATACTAAAATTATTGTCATAGTGGAGGTTGCCGTATGATTTGGGGTTCGTATAGTCGCCATCGTCCACCGCCTGCACGCCCCAAACAAAGTGCATGTGCATCTTAAAGTTCTCGTAGACCTGCAGTGGCTTCTCGAACCAGAACTGCTGCTTAATACTGGAATAGACTTCGAACGGATGCTGCGAGACAAATAGCTGGAAGTGCGACTTTTCCGGCAGTTGGAGTCCTGGATACCAGAACACAATGATGGCACTAGAGGTGCCCAAAGCCCCAAAGAGCAACAGCCACATGTAGGCATAGTTCATGATGCTGTGCGTAATGCACTCCTCGAATAGTTGACAGAATCTATTAATTGACTTTTTGCTGGAATGCGTCAGCCTTTGGAGCAGCGGCTGGCGACACGAAATCCTGCTTGCAAAAAGGCGTTCCATTATGGAGACCGAGGCGGGCAGCCAGGTGATCATCAGCAAATAGTTTGTCACCACAACAGTTCCCGCAAAGATCCTAAATAGATCCAATAACAGATAGTCAGTCATCCGCAAAGACTTACAATGTGTCCGCACTTACCCAAAGCACTTGATGGCCGTTATGGAACTGCTGTAGGAGGCGTAAAAGGCACCAGCCGTAGTCAGCGATGTGACAAACATGGAGGCAGCGGCATGCCGCATTGTCAAGGCCATGATGTTCTCCAACGTTTCCGTATGCTCGCCATGCTCCAGCGGTGTTGGCAGCGCACTCTGCGACTGTGCGGTGGTCAGTGTGCCGCGATTGCTAAATCGTTCGGCCAACACACACTGCCAGATTTTCATAAACAAAAACACATCGTCTGCTCCAATGCCAATGATCACTACCGCGGCCAGCAGGTTCATGTACGGAAAAAACGCAAACTCAAGGACTATTGAGTAGACAAAGTAAGCCAGTCCCAGCGAGAAGCAGACGGCTATGCAGGACATGGCTGTGATGAAAGCGGAACCGGTGTACAGCCAGACGCTGGCCATCACAAAGAGTCCGCCCAGCGATACCAGCCAAACGTCCGTCAGCAGCAGCTCGTTAAAAAGTTCGTTCTCCAGACCCAAGTCCATGGCAATCACTTCCACCAGCTCGTTGCGTAGGTCTCTGAAAATATAGTCATCAATTGTGAGACACACATTAAACACTAAACATTACACAAAATCTAAATCTAAAATAAGTCAGCGAAATGGCGCCGAAAACGAGGGAAGCCCAATTGGCGGAAATGGATTTGATTTTCCTGGAGGATGTGCTGCCAAAGTGCCACAAATGTCTAACCACTACACAGGCGGACTACGTAAATCATAATAAAGGCGGTGTTCCATGCAGATCCAAAAAGATATTCCAAGAAGACCCGTCGCTACTCTCTGGCCACTATGCGAACAATCTGAAGGTTAACGGACAGGAAATGAAAACAAAATCCTGGCCCCGCTCTATGGACTGGCGCGAGGAGTACGAACAGTTTGTGCGGCGCAATAAGTGGTGCAACGAGGATATCTACAAGCTCTTCTTTGTGTGCCCGCCCGTGCAATACAAACAGATCGAGCAATATCTGATAGACCTGCAAAAGACGGTATATATGTTCGACTACTCGCCCAAGGAGTACGTGTCGCTGCTGAGCCAGCGCCGTCAAAACTTGGACAAAGAGGAGATTCAGCGTGACAGTAACCATAAGGACTATTGGACTACCTATGGAAACTATTACAATCGCATACAAGAAACGGAACAATTTCGAGATGCTATCTATCCAGAGCCAAAGCCCAAGGACTTTTCGGTGGAGAATTTCGCCAAGGCGATGCGTAAACTATTCACAAAGTATAATCTAACCACATATTTTGATGAGATATGCGTGCCGGCGCTGTTCATGGCCAAGGATGGCATAATGCCATCGGGACCAATCGATCGCTATACCCTACGCAAGTACTGAGTCAGCACTTGCCAGTCTTCATCCATCCATACTTACGCATCTTCCCATTCGTGAAATAGTGGCAGCACACGGTTAGAGTGCGCCACAGGCACAAAGATCATAGCGTACTTCAAGTAAACGTTCGAATTCTGCAAAATAATCTCGTTAAATATGGTTAAAAATTGACTTGAATCGAAGGGTTTACGTTTGGCCTGATAAAGCTAAAGTCGCTGAGGAAATTGAGTACGTTGTAGACAAGATTGTGGCGCTTGCATTCCTCTGGCGCATAGCAGCGGGAGTACTCATTGCAGTTGTTGTCCAGCTTCAGGTCGTGAAAGTACTCATAGCAGCCCATCAGCAGAGACTGCAGTGAGCTGACATCATCGGTCGTTAGGTCGAAACAGGAACTTTTGTTAGCCAGCATTGCGGCGTAGTTGGGCAAAGACCAGGGCCGGCAGCAGTCGGAGGTCAGCATCTCGGGCTCACAAAACGCCTTGTAGCTGGGAACGTCTCTAATCTGTTCCTGCAGCTGGCACATGGCCAATAGGCCGTTCAAATCAAACAGCGAGTCGGTGGCATTGGGTCCAATGCGCTGGACCACAAAGTGAGAGTATTCCTTGCGGGGCGACGAGTCGCAGAAGAATCCCTCAATGGGCTGGCGCAGGTGGGCGTCCGCCCAACTGTCGGTGGGCAATGTAGCTGCCTGTTTTAGCAGGCGCCAGGTGCTCTTCTTAGTCTGTACGCGCTCGCGGTGCTTTTCCTCATCCACCGATGTGGTATTGTGCCCATACTGGATCTTTTCACTGCGCCCGGTCGGCTCCAGAGGCGAGGAGGCACTGTCGTTAGTTATCTCGTAGTCCCGAAAGACGCCGCTGTCTCCCATCCATGTGTCTCGGTCGCCCTCGCTTTTTGGGGCACTGGTCGCCTTCAGGCGCTTCTTGAGCAGCATTAGCTTTTCGGCCACCTCTGAGTGCTCGTGGCGCTTCTGATCCTTTCGCCGCTTATTCTTGTTCTTGTGCTTTCGCTGGTTCTTGCGCCGCCTATGATTAGGATGTACCTGGGACACGCCATAGCCTTCATCCACTCTGTGCCTTTCCCAGATATCCGACGGATTCGAGAACAGCACGCCATGTCTGTCGGTCTCCTGCAGAAGATTGTACCAGGCCGTCAGGCGCTTCCCGATTTTGGTGCCTCGCGTCTCGAACCCCTGAAATGTGAATAAAGGGGAGCGGGAGTGGGATGAGTGAGCATGCGTAGATATGTGCGTAGACCATACGTACCAAGGTGGGGTCACTGAAGTCGGGCAGCTTGTTGAGGATGAGCGCCACTATTATGCAGGCCACGCAACAGACTGCAATGGAGACCACAACCAGGTACGGACGTCTAGCCAGGACATGGTAATACCAGTTCATCTTCTCCGAGTCGAAGCACAGCATGCCGTGGCGGCGGTTCGTTTCAACGTTTGATTTATTTAATAAAATCTGCTTATTTTCCTATCATAGTGCTGTTGCGTTGCTGTTGCTCCTAGTCCTTCATCATACATATATCAGCGACGGCTTGTTGTGTCTCAGAAAACCAGAGCAGGGTCAAATGCTATTGTTTTGGTTTTGTTATAGATACTGCCTGGCCTGGGTTTTTTTTCGATTTGCTGGCTCAAAAATCCACTTGTTGGCGCTTGGCTGGGGGAATTACATTGTGGCCAGGCGAGCGTGGCGTGCGACTAACTTAGGGCTTGGAACTAACTAAAACAAAAAAGGAACCAAAAATTTTGCGAACAAGGATAAGAACACTGTGAAATAACAACAAAAAAGCAGGATGCGATAGCTCTGCAAGGCCATCGATGGTTTGTGCGATAGATTGACCATCGATATATCGTGTGAGAGAAAAAGTAGAATATCGAAGTCTAGAAAATTAATTATTAAAAATATTAATTATTAAATTTAAATTAATTACAGAATTTGCGATGGAAATTTTTATATTATTTCATCGATGATTTTGCAGATAGTATATATCGACCAGCGACCATCCCTACCTGATCTGCAATGTTTTGTAATCGTATTTACCAAAGTTAAAATTTTAATTTTATAAATAAGAAATGCTGCGACGAGCCCAGTGCCTCCTGCGGGTGCACAGCACTGGCCGCCAGTCGCTGTTTGCCGGACAGCGTGTGCCTGTCGTCCTCCACAGAGCCTTTTCAGCTGACGAGGCGAATCGGGACTCCGAAAAACAGAATCCAAATGCAAAACGTGCCGGCACAGGCGGGTCCAAGAGCCTGCCCGCTGTGCGGAATGCGTTTGCAGCGGCACAGGACAAGACGAAGGACACGTACCTCACAATGGTGGAGATCTTCCAGGAGCGCGATGTGCATAGGCGCAACCATGTCGAGTTCATCTACGCTGCCCTGAAGCACATGCCCGAGTTTGGCGTGGAGAACGACCTGGAGGTTTACAAGGCGCTGATCAATGTGATGCCCAAGGGAAAGTTCATACCGACGAACCTGTTCCAGGCCGAGTTCATGCACTATCCCAAGCAGCAGCAGTGCATCATCGACCTGTTGGAGCAGATGGAGGATTTGGGCGTCATGCCCGATTACGAAATGGAGGCCATGCTGCTGAATGTTTTCGGTAGCAAGGGCCACCCCCTGCGCAAGTACTGGCGGATGATGTACTGGATGCCCAAGTTCAAGAACCTCTCCCCCTGGCCCCTGCCCGACCCAGTGCCCGACGATACGCTGGAAATCGCCAAGCTGGCCGTCGAGCGGATGTGCACTGTCGATCTGCGGTCGCAGATCAACGTATTCGACACCAAACAGCTGAAGGATGCAGTGGACGAGACGTGGATCGTGAGCGGCATGAGCCCAGAGCAGTCAAAGCTGTTGCGCGAGCACTCACGACAGAAGGCGCTCTACATTGAGGGCCCCTTCCACATATGGATACGGAATCGCCGGATAAACTACTTCACCCTGCGCGCTGATGCCGACACCGAGTTCCTGGCCCAGTTGGACGAGCGGCAGCTGGACGATGACGATGTGTCGCACATTGAGGTGCCTTTCTTCGGTCGCCCCCCACCGAGACGCCACAATCAGCTGGGTAAGCTGCGTTCGGTTCACCAGCAGGACGATGGCACGATTTTCGCCATCTGCGCCACTGGCACCTCCACCAAGGACTCGCTACTCTCGTGGATACGTCTGCTGGAGGCACATGGCAATCCCTCCATAGGCGAGGTACCCGTTCTTTTCAGGTTCACATCGACAGTGCCCGCCAAGGCGGAAGAGATAGAGGGACCATCCAGTGTTCCAGCGACCAGCAGTGATAGCCGTAGTCGTAGCCGTAAGAAGGAGGAGCCGAGCGTAAGTTAATTTATTGAATAAATTCATTGTTGAGCAACTGGTTTTCGTTGTCTTTAATTTCTTGGGTTGTTTTTAGGTTTAAGGTTTAAGTAAAGGAAATTAACCATAAGATTACACAATTTCTAATTGTGAAGCCTGTCTGTTGCTGTTGCTGCTGGTACATATGCGAGTATATACTGATCCGAGCTTAAACGAAAAATCACAGAACTCGAAACTAAATGTAAAGAAGATCTGATCTGCCTACGATTCGGATTTCTCGAATCTCTCTAACCTCTAATTAAGTATTTACATTTCATCTGAGTTAGAAATATGTCAAATATATCATTATATCATAATATCAATATCCATCCATCCGGCGACTATCCCCTGCCGGTAGGTTTCACTTTGTGCCAGTTTTGTTGACGGGGAATACCTGCGTGACAACGCCAATGCCCTTGCTGGTGCCCTCGCGGAATAGGATGCGCATGCCGGGACGCACGTACTCCGGATGGCCGACAAACTCGAACATCACGGAGGCGCAATCGTTGGTTCCCAGCTTCTCTTCGCCCATTATGCCCCGTATGACGGCGGTCTGGCGAATGCTGCCAATGTGCACGGTGGTCTGGAAGCCCACATAGATGGCCGTGGCATGGAACAGAACAGATACCTTGGCCTGCAGCGGAATCGATGATAAGCGTTTATAAGTAAAAATGTTGAAGCCGAATGTCGAAGGCTTACCTGAAAGAAGAACGTGCCGTATGGCTCGTCCGGACTGTCGCCCAGCAGTACCATGCCGCTGCGCAGATTCGGCAGCTCCTGGTCCAGGGTAAACGAGAGCGATGCGCTCTGGCCAGCGCGAACCACACAACATGGCGCCTTATTGCGATGGATGGTGTTGACGCTGACGGGATGGAAGCTTCCATTCGGCAGAGGTCCAATTTTCAATGGCATATTCTCGGTGAGCACGCCTTGGACCAGGAGACCACCCACCACGGGACCAACGTCCGTGACCCGGAATATTTCATCAACCTGAAATTCACACGACTCCTGCTCGAGGCGATCCTTCTCGGCATTGCTTATGCCCGGCGAGAGCACATAGAGAAACTTGGTGACCAGATTGAGGCCCGTTCCCGTAACATTCGAGACACAAAATATGGGCACAATGTTCTCCGACACCTGATTCGAGCCGGCGGAAATGGCCTCGTCCGTATTGGTGACCACAAATGGCACCTTGCGGCACCCAATGTTCGTGAGAAGTGTGCGCAGCTCCAGTACTGTGGCGTCCGGCGACGTAATGTCTGTTTTGGTGACCAGTATGAAGAACGGCATGTCCAGGGCACGCACAATGGCCAAGTGCTCCTCGGTGGTCTCGTTGCAACCGCTGCCCGCCGACACCACCAGCATGGCGTAATGCGGCGAATAGCCGCTCAGCGCTTGGACCGTGGTGCGCATGTAGCGTCGATGGCCCGCCAGGTCCATGAAGGTGACAAGCTTGCTGGAGCGGTCGCTGATCTCCTCGGCCGTCATCATCTCATTGTACTTGTAGTTGACCACATTCCCCAGCGCATCGAAGCCCAGCGTCTCGTGGGAGATGCAGGATGTGCGACCTGCAGGTGGGCGAGGAGGAGTTAGTAAGCGGCACCAGGCGTCCATTATCCCCATTATCCTTACCCGACTGGATCTCGTGCATGTGTCGGAACATGTTGAGGCGTGCCCGACCGTGTCCATTGTCCAGTTCGTCCTGCGTGAGTACGCCCAGAAGCGTGGACTTGCCAGCGTCGGCTCCGCCCAGAACCGCCACCCGCACCTCGATGTTGTGCTGATCGTCGGGAATCTTGCGCACCAGCACCTCGGCCACGGCCCTGCGGGAGGCAATCGTCTTGCGTCGCAGCACTGACGTGCTCGCACCCAGGTGATGGGCCATATGCCTCAGTGTCATCAGCGAGGCATTCATGTCCTTCTCGCTGAGGCCCTGCAGATAGCCCGCATCGGACACACCAATCTCGTAGATGGCCTCGCCGTTGCCCTCGCGCAGACGCCACTTCATCTGTGTGACGAGATGCTCGAAGCGCTGCTTTGAAGGACTCACCAGCTTCAGCTTGTACTCCACATTGCCCAGCTGGGGCTCCGGCGGCAGTATGCCCTGTTCGAAATCAAAGATCAACTTGCCGGTGGCCGTGGGGGTGGCGGTGGCGCTGTACGGGCTGCACTCATTGGCATTGGCATCCATCTCGTAGTCGCTGCTGCTGCTGCCCCCGCCGCTGGAGTTTCCATTTATTTCGGGCTCCTCGTCGAAGCCGTCGTCCTGATTGGGATCGAAGAGGCTCAGGAAGGACTCCATTGTTGCTATATAAATATTATCAGATTTATTGTTAGCTGATAGAAACAAAGAACAATTCTCGATAGAACAAGAGTATAATAATTTGGCCAATTGCGACATTGAAACACACACACACACACGCACACACAGAGAGAGAAGTGTACATAAGCGTATGCATATGCATGGGCTCTTGTATATACATATCATATCTGTTCTTCTTCGTTTTCCTCTTTGACTTGCAGCGACCTTGAAACTCTTGTTTATGTTTTCCCCACGACATTGGACAGATACACACAATCGGGAGGGGAGGGTTGGAATGACATGGGATGCGAGTGTTACGCGAAGGAGTCACCAACTGCTTACCTGAGAAATCAAATTAAAGCGATTATATTGTGGCTCTCTCAACGTTCACTTGTACAAATAATTATAAACTAAAAGTTGGTCCTATTTGCGCGCGGACCTCTGCTTGCTGACACAAATTATCGATTTTGGCTGCGCCGTTGCCTTCACCCAGGTCCAATCTGTTATTTGTCTATATCTCTTTCTGTATCTCTTCTGCTTCTGCTTCTGGCTCTAGTTCTGCCTCTGCTCTGCTCTGCTGCCAACTTGTGCTTTTTGTGTTTGTCTGCCTTTCGATTTTGTTTATAACTTGCTCTGCTTTGTGCTACGACCACACTCTTAGAACTCGTATACAGACACGTACTCGCACGAATGTACATGCATGTGTACATTCACCCAAATACAAAAGTTCCCAAAGCTCTAGCGATACCCTACACGAGCTGAGCATGTGATTAACTTGCTCCGTTCGGTTTAGTTCTTAATTTATGTAAAAATCTATGAACAGATTATTGTACTTGTTTAACTCCCGTGTATTAGTTTAGAATATCAAGCATGTTGAACACTTTTTCTTAGGAAGCGCATATACAAGTCGGTGCGACGTTCCACATATTTTTGTTTGCTTTTGGCATCTTTCTGGTTTCTGGTTTTGTTTTGATCGGATCAGCTGCTGATAGGCAAACGACGCCAAACAGCGATGGCGCTATATCTTGAAATTGATGATGGAAACTCGAAAAGCTTTTGATTTTTTTGGTTTGTGGAATTACTGTTGTACGTGTCAACAATAACGAATTGCATACGTACGCTTATTTCTATCGTTGCATACATATGTATGTACATATGCTTGCTACACTTTTTTGTGACCAAATTTTATCATATTGTATGAAAATGAGGTCAATGCACGGCTGATGCACTTACATTTCACAATTGTTGTAATAGGCCCAGGAAGGCCAGCGATTTCTGATGCAATATGACGCTACGCTACGTTGAATAAGGCCAGGTTCCGAGAATTGCGTGAGAAGAGTTCGGGTCTGGGCGGGCACTATCCTGGCATCTTTTGGTCACTTAAATGCACTTATTTCATTGTTAATTACTAAATAAAAATTACTCAATAATTTAGATGTTGTGTATTTGTTTACACTTGTTGATATATTACATTGATATATCGATATGTATGTTGTTTAATAATAGATTTTCAATTGATTTTTTTTTTTTGGAGTGGCGAATATATTAATTGTTTTTCTTTTGTGATATAAACATCAAAGTTCAGGGAAGATCGAATCTATTTTTCTGTTGTTTCACGTTGATTCATATATACCCGCGACTTTTCATTCTACTTATCGATGCATAGGGTTGGGTGCAAGCAAGTATCGGTAGTTTTGTGCGATAAATGGGTGCCTCGGGACCGCCTCATGGCAAGTAGCTTCTGTCAGTCAGCATTTTAAATTTGCCCAGTTTTTCAAATTTGAATCGAGGGCAATGAAATGAATTATTGGATTTTTCTTTTCGTGCGTATATTCAGGGGCTCCCGAAAGCCGGATAAATCCAAATAAAATTCCGTTTAATAATATGTTTACGTTTTATTTCTTATCATTAACATTATTACTTTATCACAAATATTTTAAGCATTTTTACATATGTAGATAGTTACAATGATGTGTATATGTATGTATGTATATATGTGGGGGTTATCTATGCATATGTATTGTATGTACAACGAATGCTCTCCTTGAGGCTCATAAAATACTTATAGCACAAGATTACACGTTAGCTGTGTGGGTGTGTGTGTGTTTTGTGTTGTGTGTGTGTATGTAAAGGCGTGGCTCTACAGGTTCGGTCTTTTAAAAGATTCAACTACTCGCTTCGCTTATGGACTCGATATCGGGGGAAGTTTTCCTATAAACTTGAAGGAAGCTTACGATTTTCTCTATTTACTCTAACTCAGAGAGTTACCTGGAATGCTACAACTTTTACATTTAAACATTATGACATTACATTGATCTTACTAATTGCTATAATTCATTGAAGATTTTTGCTTATTCTTTGCTTGTTTTTCCATAACCATTTTTGTTTTGTTTTTTTTTTTTTTTTCGTTAGAAAGTCGAAAACGTATATCGAAAATAACCGAAAATGATATGACAAACTTTTGAACACTTATAAGTCGTTTTTAGCCCTTGTCTATGATATAGTTTACCGTTTTCGTGGCTGCTTTAATATGTATGTACTTCTGATATGCTAATGCCTTGATAACAATTGCCAATCCAATGGGCCCGACGGATCCAGACGGGTATGCAACATTACAATAATCGAAAGAGTGTGTGTTATGGCTAACAACTATTTGAACTGCCTGCCCCCCGGGTCTAGCCTCTGTCCATAAATTATATTTACACATGTAACCTATGTATTCGTTGTGGTCTCAGGTCTCAGGCTGAGGGCTGGTAAGCGCACTCCCAATACGACCAACAATCAATGAAGTGTCTGACCAAAAACCGTGGCTCAGCTCAGCCAAACTGTCATCACCCGCTGGCTCTGGCGTTGGTTGGCTCTCTAGGAATCAGCTGAGCTCTGCGCTTTTATTTCTCGACCCGCATAAATCATTTTATTAGCTTATTAAAAACTTTTCCATTTATTGTCATCATTTTGCGCTATCGTGCGCACAAATCCGTGCCCAGCTCTCTGTGCTCTGTGCTATGGGTTCTTGTCGCCTGCCGCGGCCGCTTTTATTGTGCTCTATACCCCCATTCAATCGCTCGTGAGCTTATTAAGGGTCGGGGATGGAGCTAGAGGCGGGGTTGGTGTGGGTTGGCTATCGCATATTTTTCTAAACTTTTCTTTATTGCTCACTTGTTGGCTGCCATGGCTGCTATTAGCAGGGACTGGACAGGACAGGGCAGGACAGGACTGCCCACTCACATTTCAACCATACCCATTAAATTCAAATCGGCTGCTGTTTTTGGCGCGTGTTTAAAAGTTAAATAATGGCCAGCACTGGGCACGCAATGGCGCAAGACGTGTCCAATATAACTTTTGCCCGTTTTTGGCTTTGGGGATGGGGCGGTCGCAAGTCTGTTTTCGATACACTTGGCTTTGATCTTGTGCAATCGTGGGGTGGTGTGGGGGTGTGGGGGGGATGTGGGCAAGTTCAAATAGTTGCGGTTTGGTTTTCTCCCATTTCAGTGTGGCATAGGCTCTCGGTTAGGCAGGAAGAGGGGGGGATATGTATGTTGAGAATACATATATGTATGTATGTAAGTATGTATGTATGTTGGTTTTGCAGCCAGGACAAACAGATTTAACAACGATTTTCGATACGTAGCATTTCAACTATAGACGAGATTACTGTCCAATTAAGCACTGCTCTCAGCTGGCGTCCAAGTTTGGAAGATTTTCGTTTCACCTTTCACAATGTGAGGATGAAATCGCTTCGTGACTGCAGCAGGGCTCTGTTGTACAGAGAACGTTAAATATAGGCATGTATGTATACAACTATAAATAACTACGAATACATTTACTTAGTTTAAACATTTACAAACGAACAGAGACACTTACAAACACACGCAAACACGCATTACATATAAATACAAATACAAATACAAATGGATATTCGTACTTTATCTAAGGGGTTGCGTTTAGGTCTATGAATTAACTGCTAAGCGACGCCGCCGAATAGCTCTCGCATCCGTTCCCAAGGATCGTAGTTCGCTATCATTGTCTTACTTTGAGTCGGCTTCTGATTCGGTTAGTGTTTGTTTGTGCGCCAGTCTTTTGTTTGATGCCAGGAATTCAAGTGCTTGCCCCACACCCACTTCCACTTCCATACATCCACATTTATACCCTTGTCCTTGCCCGAACATTAACCGCGCTTAGACGCAGCTTTCGGGGCCGGGCAAGGTGTCCGTGATGATGTGATTGCGTCCGGCACTGGACTTGTGCGTGATGGTGTTGAGCTGTGACGGCGACAGGCTTGTGCCGGCCATCACCGAGCCGAGGCCCAGGCCCTTGGGCAGCGTCATGTGGGTGGGCAGGGTGGTGGTGGACATCGGCGATCCAGCGGCTGCTGCTTTGCTCAAATTGTAGTCTATCAGACTGCTGGTGGTCAGATAGTCGGCCAGGGTGAGTGTCGGATCATGGCCCCCCCGCTGCAGGCTGCCCGCTGTGGGCTGGCCCATGCTGTGGGGCAGCGTATGGTGCAAGTGATGGGCGTAGTGGCTGCCTCCAGCCGCACCGTTGGCCAGCGCATTGCTGGCCGCGTTAACGGTGCTGCTGGCCGAGCTGAGCGTGCTGTTGCTGCCCCCACCCCCACCCCCGCCGACAGCATAGCTTCCCATGTTGAGGCCCAGCTGCTCGTAGCGACTGAGCGTGGGCATGGCATCGTATAGGAGCGGGGGAGCTGTCCCCGTCCCAGCCACCGATGATGTCTGATGATAGCCCTTGGCAACGACCGCCGCAGTGTCGCTCTCCAGCCGGAGGGTGCTCGACTGGGAGGGCGGGCTGCTCAGGTGCGGCGCACTCACATCCTGCAATAAACAAATGGCAGAGTCAGGTTGCAACGCCTCTCCGGCATACATATATATGTACATATATGTATGTGTGTATGTATGTTGGTCTTCGCACTTACATAATCCGTCGCTTTATGGCTAGCAGCATTGCCAGAGCTGGGAGCGGCTGATGCGCCGCCGGCACCACCTCCACTGCCGCCGCCCATAAATAAACCACTCGGCCGATTTCCCAGCGGCGACGATGTGTCACTGCCAGTTGCGCTTTTTTGCGCACTCAGTATGTCCGGCTGCTTTTCAATGCCCTGCTTCAAAGTGTAAGCCACAACGAGCCGCTGATGACCAGCACCTGTTTCCAGAGGCGCCGTCACTGTCACATCCATGCCTGCCCGAAAAGGAGAACGCGCATTAGCCCCCTGACCATCTACGAGCTGCACTCCGTTGACTTACCCAAATGCTTATCCTTGTCGTCGCACATGTTCCGTGCTCCCGGGCCGCGTCGCCTACGCACAGCAATGACCACCACAGAGAGCACGGCTATGCCCACCGTGAAGAGGGTGCCGGCGAGCAGAGCAGCCAGGGGTAAGATTGACAGGCCCATGCGTCCGTCTGCAATGCAAATGTGGATGAATAAGTGGGCGAACTGCAGTACTTTGTAAGCTGAAACTCTGCCCCATGTCCATGTAAACAAAATAAAAGGAGCCGCTAGTCCTCAGGCGACAAAAAACCAATAAAGCGTCGATTATGAACAGTCATGTAGTCGTGTACAGCAACAAGAAAAGATGGAAACTGATGGAAACTGAGGGAAACAGCTAAAGTTCGAGCAAAAAAAAGAAACAAATTCCGTGCCAGCCCTTGACTTATTTTCTTGACCATTAACAGTAACAAGTATTGCTTGGAAGGATACTATTTCAGTCCCAATAACAATACATTGGTTCCAGTATAAATATTTTAACACAAATAAAAGACAGATATCATACACACACATCACAAAGGCTATAAGACCTTTAAGGCTATAAATGTACGAACTATTATTAATAAATAAAACGCAAGAGTACGAGAGAGACAAAAAGTACATACAGATATATGACATACAGACATACATATGTACAATAAATATGTAGCTATTGAAAATATTTGATGATGAGAGCACTTTTCCACCTAATCCATTTCTTTTGGCCAGCAATATTAAGTGAGGGACGGGACCCCCGATAAATAGCCTTTGCTCGTTGAGATTCGAATAAACTGGATGCAGCGGCCACTTGAATGGTGCTCGCCCAGCTCTTTTTCAGCCGAGCCAGCATTCATCCGGGCAGGCCCCCTCTCCCACCCGATTTGGCGCACATAAAACGCACAACGCATGTCAAGTGGTGGCCGTTCACTGGTTGCTCCCTTAGTTATTTTTTTTTGATTCGTTTTCTTTTTGTATTTGAAAATGCTTTAACATGGGTGCTAAGCATTTCAATTAAAATCCGTTTGAGTGCTGAGTTTTGGGGCATTTCGGGGAAATCGTAATTGAATATGCATTACAAGGCCGCAAACATTGCGTATACGTACGCTGCCTAAACGATGCGACGCGATGCGGCGTCTCTGGCTGGCTGGCTGGCTGGCTGGCTGGCTATATTTGGCATTCAACAAATCATGCGCGCCTGCGGATATGCCACACAGAATTTCAATAAGCAAACATCGACCAGGAGACAGCATAATACCGGAACGGAACGGAGCGACATGCTACCAAATGTAGCATGTAAGAGAGGCCTCTGTGAGGGCTCTGCACGGGCACTGCACAACTCTCGACTGTTGCTAATTTATAAACCTGGTGGGTCTTGCCAGCCAAAGCGCCAAAACGCCAAAACGCCAAAGTTGCAAATCAATAAATATTCTTTAGCCGCTGTATCAAATGTTGACGAAACAGCGCCGCTGGCGAAATTGCTCATTTATGCATGGCTGCGTCTAAGCGAACTCACACACACACACACACTCCTAATTTCACATTCTCTGAAATACAGACACACACACAAAAGCTCTCGTTTAGGTCCGATTTGTACATGTGTTGTAATTGCTGGCACATGACTTTTGAAAAGAAAAATATAAATATGTATGTATATATTTGATCATTCGTACAGTGCGTTTCGTTAGTGTAAGAGTGGATATGTCAGCGATGAATGATTGAATGTGCAATAAATTATGATATGTTAATTAATAATAAAATAAAATTAATTTAAATGGTAGATTCAAGGCAATTGTTTGACAATTCTGACAGGGCAGTTATTCTTTATCGGATTTTTCCACTTGAGGTTGTAGCATTTTGTGACGCACTGTATTTGGATTAAAAGCCCCAGCGGGAAGGAAAAAGCTAATAACAAGCTGACGTATAATGTTTTTTAATTTTAATTAGATTTAAACAGCGCCGTAAATGATGGAATTTGCAAGCAACGAATGAGGAGCGAACGAATGGACGATTGGTGATTTAGGACGGACATCAATCATTCGACTCCTGTTTACCCTTACTGTATTGAAATACTCGTGCTTGGACATTAACTAAATAGTGGAATATTAGGGAATAATGTGGGATTTTCTTGGTCACACACACATTCGCTAGTGCTCCTTCAAACAGATAAATAGTGAATATTTATTTAATTTTTATGCTCATTGAGCGCTTAAGTGATTTATGAATCGATGCGCAGATTGGTGCGGGAATGATTTAAATTAAATTCGAAGTTTATTTGGTTTGTTCAATGTCATGCCAATGTGGACATAATAATTCATTTTAAATTCATCATGATATGCTTTTGCATCGAATGAATATTCATTGATACACTACACCCACTGCGGTAAAATACAATACATACATACGTACATATGTATGTACTATTTCACTTATGAGTGAATATGCAGAATTTCTTCCTAAGAAAGACACCTTTGCAGCTATTTCCCATCCTCATTCCAGCATTAACCCGGCTCCATGCTCCCGGCCTGCTCTCAGCCATCGTACGACAAATCCCCAATCGCATCAGCAAACCCAACAAAGAGCATAAAGGAATATAAAACCGAATCGAGCAATCGCTTGCCAAATAAAATATATATTCGGCACCCAGGAAGAGGACACTTGAAACTGAAACTGATGCCGATGCCGTTGCCGTTGCCAGTGTGGATGCGGATGCCAGGCGACGGCACATAAGATGAGATGCCAAAAGAAAAATAAATTTAATTTAAATATAAGCACAGCGGCGTAATGAAATTTTCACACTTGTGCAAATATTTACCAATAAAACGACGTGGAATGGGGTGCCAGGTGCCAGGTGGCAGGCAGCAGGTGCCGGTAGCCGGAGACTCTAGACTATGCACATGCTCCCCCCCCCAACTTAAGCAGATAAGCTGCCAGTCAGCCAGCCAGCCAGGGAGTCAGCCAACCAACCAACCAACCAACCAACCAACCCGAGAGCCATCCAGCAAACCTGTGCTCTCCAGTACTACTACTATACTGTACTGTGCTCACCGCATAACCACCGGAGAAGGGACGAGCCTGGTCTTGCGTGCCGCTCATAAGCCAATTGTTTGCATGAGTTTTATTTGGATGAGTGCAGAACGAGGCCATCCCATCCCATCCCATTCCAGAACAAGAACAAGAACAGAGCAAAGAAAACCCTGGCTATTCTCCTTCCTGCTGTGTCTTCTCATAAGCTTAATTCGATTTAATGCTCCCGTTTGTGATATAAATGATTCGATGAGATGATGAAAAAGTGGATTGGTTAAAATGTATTGGGAATACAAGGCAGTGTAAGGCAGCGTTACACCGCCACTCACATTGTTACCCCACTCCCACCTCACTCCCACCTCCCGCCCAGTCGTGCTCATGTGGGCTTCTGGTCGGGAATGCGTTTACACAAAGTAAGCATAAATAAAGAAAGCGTTGTGGATGCGATACATTGTGTGGAGTCTGGTTCTACGTATCACACGAGGCAGACACGGAGAACGGGCGAAAGGGGAGACTGGGAGCCTGTCATCTATTGCAATGGCGGTCACATTTCCGTTCCAGACAGCCAAGCCAGCCAAGAGCCAACAGCCAACAGCCCGAGCCGGCCCACCACTTCGATCCGCCGTAACATATAATTTTATTTCATTTTACTTTACTTTCTGCACCGTTGTCTTTTGGGATATTGTATTCAGATAAGACATGTTTAATGTATTTTTTCTTGTCGTACAGTAATCGTTTATATTTTGTGCGCTCGAGCTGGGAGCTGGGAGCTGTAGCTTGGTCTCAGTGTCTGCTTGCCTTCCGCTGCTTTGGCTGCTTTTGCTGCTTTGGCTGCTGCTGCTGTCGTCTACCTCTGATACGTTGTTACCTTGACGCCCCAGTAGCGACCACAGTGTGGGTCTTATGTGTATGAATGTGTGGGTGTGTGGATGGTTGGAATAATGTAACTCCTGGGGAATCTCTGTGTGTCAGTTTAGCATAACAAGATATCTCTTTTCTCTGTTGGGGTTTTGCCTTTCTCTTATTCCTTCTTTTTTTCTTTTTTTTTTGGCTAAAACATGAAATTGATTATATTTACATTAATGTGGCATCAAGTGTTGCCATTGTAAAATGATTCTACCAGCACCGAGCCCTGACTCGGTTTGCCTTGCCAACGCCATTGCCCCTTTGCTGCCGTCGAAAGAGAAGCTTTTAAATTTGCCGAGGTGCAAATATTGACACTTGACGTAGGTGGATTGCATCTCCACTTATCCATACATATGTGTTGCATGCTTCAAAAATTAGGTCGCTCACCCAGCCGAACCACCGATTCTGTGGGCGAACTGTAACCGAACTGTGATATAATATGCACGCTCGGCTAAGCTGCCCAGCCCAGCCCAGCATTCAATCTATCCATCCCACACACACAGCACTCCCCAAATAATGACCTTCTACCGGAACCCTCATCCTCACCCTCACCATGGAGCTTTCGTCTGTTGGACAGCTGGGCAGTTGGTCGTGGGTGTCTGGAGCGCATTAAGGAGATGATTGAGTGGATTTGTTGTTCATGGTGATTGGTAACCGGACCGTACAAATATGCAATTGTGCAGATAAACATTATTGGCTGACCAAGTGCGGACAGTATTAGAACGTAAGTAATACATAACTCAGTGCGGCCCCGATGTCGATGTCGGTGACGATGATGCCAAAGATGATACTTAATGATGATGATGTTGTTGGCAAGGTGGTGTTGCCATTGGAATTGTTGATTCAATGAAGGGCCCGGCCCCAGCCTGGCCCGGCCCGAATGCTGGCTTCTACAATCATTGTGCATAATTTTCTCATGATTGAATTAGAGACAACAAATGCAATTTAACCATAATATCAGATGACATAGCACTTGAGAATACAATTATAAATGCCACTACAGAACGAGAGAACGAGGGGACGAGAGCACAAGGGAACGTAGTGGATGCCCAAGACCCAAGATGAAAGATGAGGTCAATAGTAATGGAAATCATAGAATTTATATGCAAATATTGTATAAATGGAATGTTTGTAAATATTTTATCTTGATTAAGTGCGCTTAATGAGGCTGACATGAACCTTGACAGCTCCAACACTGTATCAGAAGATTTTCTCGAATTAATATTTTAATTCTTCATCACTAAAATACTTATAAAATGTAGATTAAAAGAAATTGTAGAATATAATTTGCCTTCGAAATCTATAAATTTCTTACTTTTAATTTAGTTATTAAAGCGATAAAATGTGCGCTTCGCTGAACCCATAGGAAAGTTAATTTATTTTATAATAATATACCCTATCCCCCGAATTATCCCTCAAAATTATAGCCAGTAAGATAAACCTGTACCTACAATCCTCTAATTTTTAATTATTTCTTATGTCCCCTCTTTCCTTTAATTTTAATAATAGTTTATATTAGCAGGTAGTTGTCTGATCCTCTTCAATAAATAAAACCCAACCCAACTTAATAAGCCGTATTTTCATGTTTTTCTTTAGTTATGTATCTTAGATATATTTGATCAACATTTGAATCGATTTTTAAGTGTATAAAATGCGTTGCCTTTTTCTTTTTTGCTCAAGATTGCTTCAGTCGAAAGTGCGTGTAAAACGAGCTTTTCAAATACCTGACCTACCTTGGAAACACACGCACGCACACACACACACAGTAAACATGCACGCACTTTCACACTTTTTACCTCAATTGTTGCAAGGAGCGGAAAAAAACTTTTAAAGAAAATTAGCGTCAAAGTTGAATAACAAAGCATGAATAAGAAATCTTTGTGTCACTACTTGGGACAGCTCGGAAGTGAAGAGGGAGATGAGACTGAGACTGGGACTGGAGGTGGCACTGGGAGATTGTTTGTTGAGTAAAGTAGTGTTGCAGTGCCACCCGCCGTCGCTTCAACGTAAACAAAACTCGTTAAATAAAAGAGCAATTGTACTTACAACAGCAGCAGCAACAACCACAAGACAACAATGGAATGAATGAAAGAAAGAAACTAAAACGGTTAAGCGGAATATGCAAATACTTGAATGACTTTTTAAAGGTGAAATGGTGCTTAAAAAGCAATGAATGTTCAGCCTCTCTCTCCCACCCACCCCGTCGTTTCTATCCTGCTCCTGCTTCAGGAGAAGTTTGCCGCGTCTTGCATACCTAACCCAGTTACCACCCCTTGGGGAAAACTTTGCAGTTTTTCCCCACCCCACTTCGCCTTGCTTTTTTTTTGTTTTCGCTCATCCAAACACCTACCTGAACGCTTGTCCGCCTCATTGATGGGCACATTCTCGAGGACAATCGGCTCGGAGCGACCCTTCTGATTGACGCTGTAGACAACCAAATGCAAGGCCGGATGGGCATCGGGAAAATAGTCCATGGGCATCAGATCTGTGGATGCAAAAGAATCAGAGAATGAGTTGATGAGTCAGAGGTAGAGGCAGCGGCAGAGGCAGAGATGACCTGACCCGATCATTAATTTAAAACTTGTAGTGCAGTGCAAACTTCATTAGGCAAACAGGCATTTAATTAGCACGTCGCGGTGCAAAACTTCGGCCACGAGAGCAGCGCGCATAAACTGAACAACTTTTTCCCGTGTGCCTTCTTTTTCTTCTTCTTCATTTTCTCCTTCTTCTTTAGTTTTTCCCGTTTCCCGTTTTGCTGTTTTTCTATTTTCTGGTTTTTCTTAATGCGCGCATCAAAAGTTTTGTTTGTGCCCCTCTCTCTCTCCCTCTCGCCCTGCACCGATAGCAGCTCATTAAAATGGCAACTACAAGTGCGCTATGGTATGGTGGTTCAGGGACTGGGGCGTGGCAGGACTAATACGCATACATTGGCAAACCGCAAGAACAAAAACACTCGGCACGGGCAGGGTGACGGGCACGGGCAGGGACAGGGGCAGGGGCAGGCACAGGCCAGCCAACGGCTTACCCCGTGAATCCCTCTGACAGCATCGTTAACACGCCTGTCTAACTAATCGTGACTTTACGCTTCGTTTGACTTTGCAAATATCGCTGGATGCACACCCCTCCTCCACCAGCCATCGCTGGGATGGGGCGCTGCTTGCTGGAGTCATCGATAGAGCTTACAAAAAAGATGCCACTGCAGCACCGGGAGCAGGGATCAGATCTGTTCTGTTCTGTTCTGGCTCACGCGTTGCCAAGTTGCCAACTTTAATAATCCAAAATGTGGCTCATTAACTCGCCTCATTTTCGGTTCGGTTTTTGCCACACAATCAAATGTAATATTATAATTCTCGTTTCGCTGTTAACTCTCATATAAATCTTGCTTTTTCAACAGCTCCACGATTCGAGTGTTGGCCACTTTCTGCTGTCCCCCCTGGCCTGGCCTGGCCTGGTCGCCCCTGCCGTTGCCATTGCCGTTGGCGTTGCCCTTGGCGTTGACGTGCCTGTGGCACCCTGGGGCTCCCACTCCCACTGCCAGCTAACAGCACCATCCTCCAATTCCCCACCTCAAAACGCCATTGGCATAAAAGTTTTGCTGACTAGCTGAAATTCATTACAACAAAACAGGCAGCAGCATGTGCCCGCAATGGTCGGGTCGGGGTGTGGGCGGCTGGGTCTGGGGCTGGGGATGGGGTCCTGGCAGCCTCAACTAATTAATCTGCGTACTGCTCTATGGCTGCTGGCTTGGCTTTCCATCTACATCATGCCCCACGTACAACTCTCCTTCTCTCCCCGTCCTCATGCTAGTCTTTCGTTTCTCTTCCTTTTCTTGTCTTGAGGCCAACGCGCAATTTTGCCAGCTCAACTTTTTGCTCAGTTTGTTACTTTGATTTGTTTTTGTTTTTCCCTGTTGCCGCCGCTCCTGGATCTGGCCGCATGAAAGTCAAGTCTTTAGTTTGCGGCTTTCGACGGAGCACTGTAAATATTGTAGCGCTAACACCAGTGGCAGGACCTCGAGATTTCTAAGCCAACCTCATTTAAATATAATAATGCATAAGCATCGTGTAATAAAACAATGCTTGGGGCTGCGCAAGTCTGTGGAAATATTGGATTTCCTACCCCCACCTAAAACCATTAAAGTCCGAGCAATTGAGTTGCCTAGGAAACGGACTATTTAAACACATTTTGTGTAAATAACACGACTGGCGGCCATCCTTGAGGTAGGAGGCAGGATGGTCCACTCAACCGAGAAAATGTTGCGGAAAGTTCAAGTTTAATCCTTTAAAAGCGCTCTAAGTATGTATCTACGGATGATTGATGCCTGACTGGGACCGACTGAGACTTGTGTGCAATCAGATTGTGCTTAGCCAATCACTCACCTGTCAGATCGATCCGAAACACTGGCACATCCACGTACGTGCTGCTCATGTTCAGTCGCAGCTTCTTGGTCTTGGAGTCGTAGGCCTCCAGGAAGAACTGCTGCTGCAGTCCGCCATCATAGCCGGGCATGCACTCCAGCTCCATGGTGGAGTAGATGATGTTGTCGTAATTATCAAAATTGATGGTGCCCCCGCCGGACTGGCTGTCGTGGGCTGTGGCTGCTCCAACTCCACCTCCACCTCCAGCTCCACGTACACCGCCTGCTCCGCCCAGCAGGCTCTGGGTGACTACGCCGTTGCTAAAGCTGTACTCCATGCGTGAGTAGTCAAAATGCGGCTGCTGCCACTCGGCGGAGGTGGGTGGCGTGGTCTCGGCTGGCTGTCTGGTGGTCCGGGGCGGCACTGCTGTTACGCTTCTCGCTGTGGTCGTTGTGTCGGAGGTGGCGAGGGCCACACTGGCCACAAAGTCATCATCGCTAACGTTGTACATATCGTCGACATCGACATCACCATCGTCACCCTCATTATCCTCAGCATCGACATTTTCTTCGAGCGACTCCAGGTCCAGCTGCTGCTCCAGTGACAACATATCCACATGCTGATGCTGATGCTGGACGGAAGAACCCTCTTCGACCGTCTCGTACTCGCCCAAATCGCTCGGCTCGTCGGCCATATACTCGGCATCTGTTTGCAACTCAGCAGCATCTTCATCCAGGTCTGCATCGTCATCATTCTCCGGCTCTGCATCTTCCTCTGCCTCAGCTTCAGCTTCAGCCTCGGCGTCTGTGTCTGCCTCGTCGTCGTCGTCGTCATCATCATCATCATTAGTCTCATCCTCCGCTGCATTGTCCTCTGTCTTGGCAAGATCATTAGATGCTGGCTTGTCTTTGACTTCTGCCCGGACTCCTGTTGCTGCTGCTGCTGATGCTGCTGATGCTGCTGTTTCCTTTACATTGCTTCCGCTAATTGCTGCTGCCGGCTTGTTGCTTATTTGCGGTGCATTTGGCGGCAGCGACTGTTGCTGCTGTTTGTTCACCCTGCTGCTGACATTACTACTGCCAATGATGGCCAAAGATTTGCGTGCCCGTCTCATTGTGGGCATCTCCTCGACGCCGCCACTGCTGCTACTGATGCTGCTGCTCATGCTGCTGATGCTGATGCTGCTGCCAGTGGCATCCTTCTCAGTTTCCACGGCGGCTGCTGTGGCCCTTGTCGCAGCTGAATTTGTTGTAGCTGCCAGCGAAGATAAAGATGATGATGCTGCTGCTGCTGCCACCGTTGCTAAGATGTCATTTGCTGCCTGCCGTTTTCTTCGCTTTGGAGTTGCATAATGATGGATTATATTGCTGTTGTGCTCGTTTACGTTTACGTTTGCCCCCCGCCTTTGCTGTCTTTGTTGCAGCTCCATCTCCAGCTCCAGCTTCAGCTTCAGCTCTTTCTTCTTCTGTTCGTGCATGTTTTTCTGTCGCTTATTAAAATACTTTGCTGGCAGTTTGCCATTGTTGCCGCCGCCGCCTGCCCCCTCGCTTGCAGCAGCTACTCCAGTCCGCTCTACATGTGACATTGATAAATTTGATTTTGCTGCCTCACTCGGCTTCTGGCTTGTTATTGATGCCCCAAGACCGAGCTTGGTGCCTGAATTCAGTTGTCTCTGTTGTCTCTGTTGGCTCTGTTGGCTTTGGCTGGCTCGTCGCGTGCGCTGCTTTGGTGACTTGGCCGGCAATCCATCAGCCTGTTTATCGGTGGCCAGTGCCTTGGACGACTTTCCACTGCTCTCTTCTGGCTGATGCTGATGCTGCTGCTGTTGCTGTTGCTGCTGCTGTTGCTGCTTCCTCTGGCGCTGCCTTTCGATGGCTGCCAATGTCTGGGACGGTGTAAATGACGTTCGCTTTTTGAGGCGCTGCAATTGCTGTTGACTGAGGACATATCCCGCTGCCTGGGGCTGTGGCTGTGTCTGCTTATTATTAGATTTCATGTGGCTAGCATTTGTTTTGCCCTTCATATTTTTATTGGCGGCATTGTTCCGGTGGCCAGTGGCATTCTTGCCGTTGTTGTTATGGCGCTCACGTACGTACTCCATATGCGGATAATTCGACTCGTGTCTGCCGTATTGTGTTTGCAACATTTGATTGGCATGCATTGTCGTCTGATTCGATGAATTCAGCGATGCGGAGGTCACCACATACGGACGCAGCGTACAGTTCCGTAATGCCCCCGGCTTGGCTGTGTTCATCGAACGAAAGAAAACCATATGGGATTGGATTACAAACTCATATTGCATACAAACTGCCAATAGCAGCACACATTTTTAGCATAAGAATACGAGTAAGAGAAAGCTGAGACTCACCTGCCGGCACCACCTGAAACAGGCACGGATCCGATTGCTTGCCAATGGCATTACGGCCGTAGCAGGCCAGTGTCCCGTAGTCCCGCTCACCCTTGGGCGTGTAGATCAGTTCGCTGACGGTCTCCACTGTGCGAAAGAAACAGGTGCGAATATTCAGTATCGGTATTCCAAGTTTAAGTGCTGCCCCTTTTTTTTGGGCCAAAGTTAAATGAAATAAGTTCTGCTTGCTTAAGCAGCTCAGTCAAGCCAACTGGGCCAGCAGCAGATAATCCAATTTACAACTATACCATGGTAACATGTATCAGTTTGTGTGCATCGCATCCACAGTCATTGTTCGACAGTCTCACCTCTGGCCCAGACTCTGCGAAATGTTAATTTCTAATGCCTGCTCAAGCGCAAGCACATGCAAATGAATCGCCTCGGCCAGGACTCTCCACCTAATGCATATGCATAGGCAAAAAACTATTGTCGAACTAGACACCTACCATAGCTCTCGAAGTGCGTCTCGTTGGCCTCCACAATGGTGCGCCTCACATCGCTGGTGGTGGTCATGGTGGGGTCCTGTATGGTGGCATAATGTCCAGACGGCACCTCGAAGTGCTCTCCGCTGCTCGAGAATGTCCACTCGAAATCGATTTCGGGCGGATCCGAGTTGACGCGGCAGGGTATGGGCACGGCCTCTTCCAGCGAGGCACCAATCACGCTGATGCTGCTGCTGCTGCAGACGGGCGCATCTGTTGGAGACACAATTGAGAGATCGAATTTATTCAGGGCAGGGGAAAAGGCAAAGGCAATGTCTAAGCGAACGAAATGCAAAGTAATGAGCAGCTGCACTCGTCCGATTGTCCGCTTTCTATATCGAGTATTTATATTGCAAACATTGTGCTGACAGTCGAGAGGTGTGGGCCATGGCCATGGCAAATTGACAGCTCAGATTTTCAATTTAAACTAAACATCTGCCGTCGTGTCCAGGCGCAGGTGTGGGGGTTGGCCAACTGAAAGCTTTAAGATTGAAATTCCTGCAAAAATATGCCCTGCTTAGTCTCTCTCTCTCTCTCTCAGACTGACATGGCACTGGTGCAAAAGTTTTCCTCATAGCTCGAAGAGCCCCCACCCCGCATTTGACTTATGATTTATTCAAAGTAAACTCATTTTGCGTTTTTGGTTACAAACGATTGAACTTGAAATTTTATGTCATACACGCGGCATGCCAGCATTTCTCGCTCTTCCTCATCTAATCTCGCCCACTCTTTGTTCCACACACGCACACACACGCACAAACAACTTTTGCGTGAAACTTTTGAAACCTGCGCCAAGTGTGCGTTGTGCCCGCATACCGCGCCTCTTGTCTCGTGCCCCTGCGGCAATGGAATGCTGCCATAAACAACCCCCCCAAACACACAACAGAAGACAATGCAACAACAACAACAAGAACCACTCTAAGCACCTGGAGGCATTTATTACCAGAGCCGCAACACTTTTTGTTGCTTTTTATTAAAAATTATTCGAAAAGTTAGTGCGTGTCATATGCGTAAGCGGAAAATCGTGTAACGAGTTTGTATACAAATATTTGTACGCCCCCGCAAGGGGAGTGGGGCACAAACTAGGTCGAAGTCTTTGATCAGCAGTCAGAGGTTTTCTTGGAATCTTGCTAACAAGTTAATTACGCTGGAGCGAAAGGAGCTTCAGCTTTTAAGCGTTAAGCTTTTCGAGGACATTCTTAATGGTTTTCCAATTGAATTTAGTTCCATAAACAATTTCCTAAAAATAGTTCCACTTGCACTCCATTGAAAATAGTTTCATGAGTAAAAATTACGATTTAACTTATAATGTCTTGGAGCCCCATTAAAAAAAGAGTAAAAAAGAAAAAGAAAATATATAAAATTAATTAATAAATAATTATTATTTTTATATGAAATAAATTTTTTTCCATTGGTAAAGTTTTTCCTCAGGAGCTGCGTTGTGGTGTGTGTTTATGGGTTTTATGGGTCTTTTGGAATTAATCGAGTTCATCTTTTTGAATTTTTGCAATAAAAAGCGAGTGAAAACTGGAGTGGATATTTGAGCCTAACGCTGAGATGTAGCTCTTTTTTTCCCCCCTGTTTTTATATCATCAGTGTTTTTTCTACAGGCCTATTTACTGAGATTGGGGGTTGGATCGTACTTTGTCATGATTCTTTTAGGTGCACTTTCTACGCGCGAAGCGTCCTCACATTTATCTAGCTACCGTTCATTCGTCAAACTCGGAATGGCATAACCAGATTTAATTTCACGAATATTATCAGCTCAAGTTTAAGCCATCAATTGGCTGAATTTTCGATGCATGCAAATTGGTAGATTCATCGTTCTGGGGCATAAGTGCGCACTTTCGGATTATTATAAACATAAGAAAGGATGAAGCTGCAGTTGATTGCCTGATTTTATGAGCACTTAAAGTTGGCTCTGCTCTGCTCTGCAGTGAAGTGCTGGCTAGAGCACTCTGTGAAATCTCCGTGGTTGTGGGAATCGGAAAACTCACCAAGTTTATGTTTGTCCGTTTGTTTGCGCTCATAAATTTTTTATGTCAGCGTCAATTTCACAATCGCAGAATGTCAATTTTAACGTTTGCTGATTAATTTCTGCCAAGATATCAGCCAACTGCTGGCTACCATAAATCAATTTATCTCAATCATACCCCACAATAATGGTCGGTGGAACCTCCCACCACCTTCAAGGCAGGCTCTACATACCTATCACCCAACTACCAGCCCCCAGAGTACCCTTCTCTATCTCATCCATATCCAATCAACCATCAATCCCTATACCCCACCACAGCCCACTCCACTCCCCTCCACACCCATCCACCCGTTGGGTATGTAAATGTTTACGTGGCGTATACGCGATGCTCGTGTAAATAGCCCACGTAGTATTTGCACAGCAGTCGGTGTGGTGTATCCTTATGCATTGTACTTGTATTTACTTTCAATTATCGTAATTATCAAAAAGGGTTACGGGTATTCATCGGGTATTCGGGTAACGGATAACTGGAAACGGTAACGATAATGGCACGGCAATGCAAACGTTTGCTGATGTCTTCGTTTTTTCTCTTTTACTGTTTTCCCCGTTTTTCAATCATTTTCGATTTCATATCCGCCGTGCTGAGCCAGCAGGAATTGTATTTTCGTTGAACACTGCCAGCTGTATAGTATGTAGCTACTTATTTGAGTTGCAGCTCGAAGCACAATTCGATTTCGCCCGCCTCAATCCAGCGAGGCGCAAAAATCGGGGATAATTACATTCATTTCATTTCATTTGGTTTTTTATTTTTAGTTTAATAAACTATGCATAATGTAGTATTATGCTTAAATGGCATCAAAATATTCATTTGCCAGAGCAATTAATTAAATAATATTCCTTAACCTGCCTTGTTTGCATATGGAATGAAATGATTTTTTCCATTAAATATGCAAAATAAAAATTCAATTTTCCCACGAACATACATACATACATACACACATTTAAGTATGTGTATGTATAGAGATTGATACAGGTGTGTCTCTTCACCTGACATGCCTGTGTATCGGAGTGCATGTCCTGCACGTCCTGTCTCTGGGCTCTGGCTCTGGGCTCGCTCGCTCGCTCGCCTGACCTCACCCATAATTATAAATGGTTTAATAATGACTGTGAGTTTCAATAATAAAAGCAGATCATTCATTTTTATTACCCACCCTATGGCCTGGCCTCATGCCTGGCCCCCAGCTGACACGTTAAGTTCTGGGGCTAAACTTTTGCCCTCAATGGAATGGCTGAATGGACGAACGAGCGGCATGGATGGACGTTGGGGCGGGATACTTTATGCATACGTATGCATATTTATGCACAAACAAACACACAACACACACTCTCTCACCCACACACAAACCCAATTTCATTTTGTATTTAAGCATCATTAATTATTTAGAAATACAGTCGGAAGTAAATGCTCTATAACGGTAATTGAGACATTTTCAATATGTGTACACAAAGGCTCCGAACGGCATTTATCGTTTATAGTTCATTTATTTTTGTGCCCTCCGTCCAGCTGTCCCGGCCGTCCATCCACAAATTATAATTACATACACTTTTGGGCTCGAAAGTGTGAAAAAGGCTCACCAGACAATAGACAATAAACGATATAATTAAATTAGATGTAATTGAGTTACCACCTATTTGATTATCAATATGGGCGTGTTATTACGAACTGTTAAGACTGATTCTCATCAATTTTATTTGACTTATACCCATTCAAATGTCTCTTCAGTCCATGAGAACTTCCTCTAAATGGAAGTTTATTATGGAAATTCTGTAGCATTAATCAAAAGTTTTCTAAACCAATAAATATTGAGGGCCACTGCCATTCTCTTTACAAAGAAGCAAATAAATAAAAGAAGAATATTTCTCATTTGTTCAAAATACTCGGAATACTCGATCAAGTTGGTATTTCATAATATCACATTTCACGGTATTCAATATATGCAACTAACACAATTTTTACACCCATTTTGCTATGGACCTGAGAATTACCATATCAAAGTGAATTTTTATGGAATAACCAAATTGCAAAAGTGCTGCCAAATAAATGGATGTCGTCATATTACATGGAAACAATGGTGGGACCTGGGCTAAGGCTCAGGCTCAGGCCAGCAACTACCTGGAATACCCTCAAGTGCATTGAAATATTCGATTATACTCGAAACTGCACGATACGAGAGGAAGCCAAACGTATGATTAAATATTGGATCTACATATATGGTGAGGAAAAAGTGCAAAAATTAGAAATTTGCTTAAATCAATGAAAAAATGGTAAAGCAAACGAAAGCCTTTGCTGACTGCCTTTACCTCAAAATGCTACACCTACATAGAAGCTTATTTTCCTTTTAAATTTTCATTACTAACGTTAGGTGTCATCGGCTACAGAGCTCCTTTGTATAAAATAAAAGGTTGACATGATTCTGATTAAATGAGTGCAGGCTCTTTAAAAAGGGTATCACAGCCTAAAAATTGCATTTGCATTGTGGCAGGCTCTCGGCCCCAGTGGAGAATTAGAATTAAAATATCTGCGTGCATTGATGCTTTGTTTAAGCGATGTAAAAATTTGTGAAGTTTTGTCATTTGTTTGATAAAATATCAACTCAAAAAGCAGCCACATATATTGTATACGGGAATATGTGCACGCATGACAGCAAAACCAGACCATATTACGGATTTTTGCACAAAATATTCCTCTGTCCTCTGTCATTTTGGCATACTTTAGTTTTTGGCCATTGTTGCTGTCCATCCTGTGTATGTGGCAGCACAGTGTGCGGACGGGGCGGGGGCGAGGATATTGTGCGATTTTGTCAAGTGCACTGCCGATGCTGTTGTTATTGTGGCAAGCATTTTTCTATGTGGGCGTGCCCCACCAGCCCATTGTCGAACGGTATAGAATGGATGTGTAAATGTGGCTATGTGCGTGTCTATTTGTGCATAAATTTATGCATATATATTTTTAATGCTCCGCTCGACTGACATCAACTGTCAGCATAATTTTTGTGCAATTTTTTGGTCATACTCGCACTACGTGTTCGGTTTTCCATTACAATAGTTTTTGTTTGAATTTTGCATTTAAATTATTGAATATTATTTAAAAAGTGTGAGCAGGGATGGGTACTCACAGCGTATCCTCAAGCTGACTGGAGCCGACTGCGTCTCGCCGCGATCGTTGGCCGCCGAGCAGGCGTAAAAGCCCGAGTGGACGCGCCCCACTCGCTGCAGCACAAGCGAGCGTGTGGATATGATGATGCCCCAGGAGACATTCTGAGTGACCGGTTGTCCCTGAAACGGTAGCAAGAGGAAGCGGGAGGGTAAGTGGCACTGATTAATGGCATTTGACGGGGCCAGTGGCAGGGTCAGAGGCAGGAGTAGGAACTTACGTCATGGGACCACATGATGCGATGCTCCTTGGGATTGGACTTGATGTGGCACTCGAAGTAGACGTCGTCGCCTTCCTTGATGTCGTCCGGACGCAGCGTGGAGCCCAGCGACAAGGTGACCTGCGGCGGATCTGCAATGCAGCCAAAATGGAACTTGTTAGTAGTTAAGCTCACATCCTAATTGCTTTCGCTAATATGGAAATTTTTGTTTTATCCTGTGCGCTTTATATTCAAATTTACGCGCTGCCTGTGCAGCCGTGCGACGAGCGACAAGCGCCCGGTCCTCTGATATAAAATATAAAATCGAAAAATATTATTGCATAATAAAAAGCTGAAATGTATGTACCGCCCGCCGTTCATTCTCGTTCGCCGCAGCGAAATCCATAAAAGTTAACAACGCAACGACGGAACCGCGTTATAAACCCCATCGCAGCGCAGCGCAGCCCCGCCTCATTCTGATCCGGCTACAAACAGGCTAACCAATGAGTATGACAAAAATTTATAAATTAAAATCGTTTCGTTGCTGCCAGCGATGCCCCAATATCAATGATGGATCATATAAAATATTTAGTACTGTCTCATACTCTCTTTTTTTTTGTGTTTTTATTTTTACAACATCATGCTTGCGTGCCGAAGGTAACAGCTACCGAAGAGACGGCAACAAATTGAAACTGTTCTGTGTAAGGAAAATGTCTAAGGAGAAGGGTTATAAAGAGGGTCTGAAGAAGATAGTAGCAAGCTATAAAACAGTTGATTTCAGGCAGTTGATAGAGTTCGAAGTTCGTCTTACAACCGTAAGAAGTTCCATTCAGGGAGCACTGCCTGAAGTCGCCTTAAAAGCTAAAGTTTATTTTTCTTCAAAGTTGAAGCCCTTTCGCTCTATGGCATTCAATATTTATGGCTGTATTTGGCATACATAGCTGGGGAAATCCATGTGTGACTTTAAAATTCAATAAATTTATGATTATCTAAAAAATACAGGGACGAAAAAACAAAGCGAGACTTTAGAGTAAACTAACCAAAGGGTTTACTTTTTTGTTTTCTGCGCTTTGACCCCCGCTGACATAGTTAACGGTAGCTGGGGAAAAAATGGCAAAATGGCTTTCGGTTGCGATTGCTGTTGATTTTAAATTGATAATCAAATAAAGTAAAATTTATGACACTTCGACGGCGTTGGGGGCAAATATGCGACGCGAAGCAAAGCAGGCAACAAATTTTCCGGTAGCTTTTTTATGGCCACGCTAAAAGTCAACGAAATAAATATTGACATATGAGTATGAACGAGCGGCAGTCAGACAGGGCCATACAGGACCAATAGCAATAGCTTGTCTGCAGGAAAAAAAAATATACGAGTATGTAAATAATGCCCTATAATTTAGACTTATTTACACAAGCGACTTTGATTTGTGCGCTCGTTGCATTTAGGAAAATTCTAATCGATTTTATAGAGTATGTACGGAGTATGTACAAGTATGTATGTGTGTGTATATGGTTTATGCATTCGGTCCACTTACAGATGACATTCATCATGAGCGAGTCCTCGATGGCTGAGTTCTGCAGACGTGGATTGGAGCCCTCGCACTTGAGCATGGTGCCGTCGTCCTCAGGTTGTGGATGAAATGTCAATGTGGATATAACTCGTCCATTGCCCTGGCTCGTTGACAGCTGTAGAACAGCATGGAACGAGAACGAGGAACGAGGAACGAAAGCACCCAGAAAAGATAAAGTGAAATCGATTAGAAAAGTGCCCGCTGTCTGTACACCGCAGGCCACACACTCCACTGTCCATGACGGAGTAAATTCATAAATAAGACAACTTGGCCTGACACCTGCTCCCGTCCAGGTTGGACGGCTGGAGGTGGCTGGGCAAGATTGAGTTAGATTTTGGCCCTAGCTTGTGTGGAGAGAGAGAGAGAGAGCTTACCATGCCACGTTTGAAGGGCCGATTATTCTGTGTCCATCTGATTTCCGTGTCCGGCACCGAGCCCGCCACAATGCAGGTGAGATTGTATTGCGTGCTCGAGGAGAAGACCTTCAACTTATTGGTTAAATTGACTGATGTGGGTTTGACTGTGAATATATGTATGAGGTGGGCGCGCGCGTGTGCGTGTGGGTGGGTGGGTTAAAGAGATTAGCTGCTGCTGTTGGGAATATTGACTTGCCAGAAGCTACTCACGTAACATTTCGATGCGTATGCTGCGCTCCACGGGTGCCACCAGCTTTGTGTTGGATGCCTGACAGCGATACGTGTTGTTCAGGGCGGAGCGCGAGATTTGGTGTACCTCCAGTCGATTGACAGTCACATGCCGACCCATCGAGACCCCGCTGCCAGCTTCCAAGGTGCGCGTCCCGTTAAGCCAGGTGACAGTGGGCTCCGGGCGACCTGTTGCCAAATGGATAGAAAAGTTGCATTAATTTCGAGGCAAATATCCACTAAACTCTAGCATTTCCATTTCCAATTCAAATTTAAATTAATGTTTAATGTATAAATTAATTTTAAATTTTTTGAGCACTGTTCTCTTTTGGCAACAAACTTTTCCACTCGTGCATTATTAACCCGCCCGCCTAGCGAGAGTTTTCCAAGGGAGTTGGGGGATGGATGGAACTCTAACGGAAGCGGCGTGACCACAACGCCGCGTTCCAAAATTTATGACCGAAAAAAAGAAAGAAACTTTCAACATTTTAATGATAATGCGCATTTAGCAGTGTGTACCCAAGGCTTTTAAAAAAGGCTTAGCCAGCTTAACTAGCAAAGTTGGGTGGGGGGCCACTGGCCGGGACGCATGGATGGATGGATTGGATGGTAAGGTCCTGGTGTGGCTGCTATGGTTTTGGTGAGGGTAAGTGAGGGCTGCCAGCCGAACGCATAAGCGTGAATATTGAATTAGTGGGAAGGAAAAACAGAGTAAAGTTTTTTTGGGGACATGCTGATGGCCACTAAATGGAAAACAATTCGCAGGGAGGATGGAAAAGTTTATACAGAGATGAACAAATATTTATTACTGTGTTTTCTTCTCTTTTATGTATCACAAAGCCGTAGATGGCAAAGGGAAAGGATGATTAGCCAGAGACTATCCATTTATCCGAGAGACTGACCTGAAGGGTCTTCTCAATTATACCTTAAATGCCTCCACCTGAATATCGATTTCTGTTCCAGCCTCATCCCTCTCGTTGCTCACGCTGCAATTTTTCGACATTTTCAATCGAAATTCGCTTTGCTGGCACCGCTCAGTGCTCCCTCCGAGTGACTGACTGAGCTGAGGGTGAGTGGCTGAGTGAGAAGGCATTTCACTCGCTCACATATCAAATGTACGAAAATATTTTTAATCCGTTTAAGTGCCCAAAGCGGTTGGCTCGAGGGCTGCTGCTGCTGCTGCCGCTGCTGCCTGGCCATTAAGTGAGCCAAGTGAATGTGGCGGAAATGAGCAACAATAGCAACAAGCAGCTGAGGCAGCAACGAGTGGCTCTGTGGCACTGGGATTGAGATTGGGATTGGCTATGGTCTATGGATTTAGCGGGAGGGTGAAAGTGGCTGATAGCTGAGTGTGGACTTGGGAATTTACTGCCATGGCTAAGCTGGGACTCCCCTGCCATCTTCCGGCCAGCCAAACTCAAATGCTTGCTGATTGCAAAGGATACTCGGCGATGGCGACAATAAGCCAAGAAGGACACACGCACACACGACGCCAAACGCCGAACCGAACCGAACCAAACTCGGGCAGGATGGGAATGCAGGGGGATAATAGACAAATAACAGTTTCCCTGCGGCATTTAGCTGCCTTTCCCCCTGTCTTGGCCTTTTCCTTTCACTCGAGGCCCCACTCCCACTCCCCATCGGCATCCTTTGTGTAATGAAGACAGCGAGCGCGTTGCCATTTGCTAAGCCATACTTACGCTTGTTGACAATTGCTAGCTCCGATGGCCGGGCCGAGCCTGACCGGGCCGGACAATGCCCCAGTGTTCGAGCATAATATGCAAAGGACAGCTGTCTGGAACACTGGACACAATGGATAACCCGGGCGGACCTTTTATGGCGGCATGCTTAGATTAGCTTTTTATTGCCGGTATTAATTGCTATTAGTCGAAGTTAATAAAGTTGATAAAGCAATTTGGCATTTGGCGTTTATTGGGCCCCGGCTATGATTAGTTGGGATGGCGGTGGAGGGGGCTGAGTCATAAAAATAGCGCCAGGATTTGCATTAACTTTAATCAGAAATCGACCCTCGCTCCTAGCCACAGTCTCCTAGTCTCTGGCTCTGCCACTCGCTCGACTCGACTCGACACCATGTGGCGCTGAAATTGTGATATTAGTTAATTTGGCTTTGAGCCCAGCAGCGCAGCGGTGTTGGCGTCGGCACGAGCAAAATGAAATACAAGCCTGCATTGCGGTCTTCCAAGGAGGCAACCGGATGGCTGTACGGATGGTGAGGGCTCCAGTGGCACGGAGGGAGAGAATGGTGCATACAAATCCGTGGCGGAGCTACTACAGCGGGTGCCGTACCACCTGCCATGATGCGTGTCGCTCAGCAGGTGTCAAAAGCGAATGTTGTCGACATCATCCCCCATGCACCATGGCCCACGTCCCACGCTCCACGCCCCGTAGCCATCTGAGCTCCCTCCCCCCCTCTGTTGAGAGCTCGAACGCGCCCGAACAGCCATCTGGCTCATTCACATGCGGTTAGTCAAAGCAGCGACGTGACGCACTGCCAAACCAATGCGAGCGATTTGCCGAGCAAATGCCAAGGTAGCAGCCAAAGTAGAATCCTTTGCTGGCAAAATGGTGCACGTAAACAGAAACAGTACGTTGCAGCACCAGCATCAGCAGCCAAAGCACCAAGTGCCAGTCAGTCTTCACTAGCTGTCATTCGAGAGATGAGGAGAGCAATCAGCCAGAGAAGCTGGGGCTCCAATTTGCCAAGTGCACCTATCACAAAGGATGGATTGTTGGCCAGGCAAATATTTGTCTCTTACGTGTGAGCATTTTGGGGAGAAGAGGCCTCTTTAAGTTTTGTCCAAAGTAAGCTGCGAACTTTTAAAGCCAATTCCCAAACAGTTCAATGAACTGTACCTTGAGCTTGTCGGAAATAATTAACTAAGTCCACTATCAAAAAAGGGACTTAAAAACTTTTTCCAGAGCACACCATCAACTGCAATCTCCGTTTTAAAGCTTTGTGCAAAACCCATTTGGTGTGCCCACAAAAAGAGAAAAATTGCCATGAAATCGAGTTGCTAGTTGACATGGAAAATGTCTGGGGTGCATGCCAAAATATTGTTGTCAGAAAGTTAATGATTTATAATGGTCGTGTCGGGGCATGGCATTCGTCGTCGTCGTTGTCGTTGTCGTCGTCGCCAACACCAACGCCATTACCATCACCATCGTAGCCAGTTCGGTTGGGTTTGGTTGGGTTTGGGCTAGGTTCGGTTCGGTCATGCGAGGAGACCCCCTTAAGCTATCCCAGTCATCCAGCCAAGCGAGCAACTTGTACAAAATTTTTCACACATTTGCCAGCAACGACAAAAAAAAAAAAGAAGAAAGTAAAAAGTTTTGACGATGCGGTTGCTTTTGATGGAGATGGAGATGGTGCTGCTGCCCCTCACCTTGGAGACCTCTTTAAAGATTTACGATGCCGCATATGCCTACAGGTCATAGCTGGCCAATGGATGCCGTGCACAACAAAAGCCCAGACACTGAAAATTGTTGCATTTTTCTTCAAGCAAAGTGGCAATGACAGCAGCCCCAGCCTCAGCCTCAGCCGCAGCAACACCATCAGTGCCAGTGCCAGTGGCAAATGCCGTAGACTGCCAGTTGTCGTTGTGTCTGTGGACCGGCAATGTCACCGCAGACTTTGACATACATTTATTTTTATTATTTACGATGACTTAGGCTGCATGTGCCACCGCCCCCACTTCTGGTCTGGGGCATAGTCCGTGGCAGCCAGGGCCAGAGCAAGAGCCAGTGCCAGTGCCAGTGCCTGGGCCTGGGCCTATCTGGAGCTTTTCATCTTTAATTCTTTAAATAGACTGGCAGGGTCGAGTGGAATGGATGGAACTGAGACTGAGACTGAAACAGTTGCGTTTTTGTGCTGGCTGTCCCCTGCTTGATAGCCTTTTGTCTGAGTGCTACATTTATGTGGTTGCCCCTACGTGTGTGTTGGTTGGGTCTCTCTCTGTGTTTGTGTGTTTCTGTGAGATATACATATATAGCGAGAGAGAGTGCGTTGGTGTCGTTTATCATGATTTACTTACCGCCACGCACTTCACATGTCAACACAATATTATCGCCCTCGAGCAACGGACCCACAGCGCCGGCAACATCGCGACCGGAGGCATCGTACACCAGTATTTGATGCGGAGGAACTGCAGGGGAGAAAATAACAGAGCAGAGAACAGACATCCGTTACGCGAGAGATTGGTAAATGGAGACAGGGCGAGCTTTAATGACAGTGCACTGCCTTATATGGAGATGTTTTTTTTTTTTCCTCTCCTTACTCACCAATAACCGTTAAGTTAATTCTATGATTGCGCGTGGGCGAGTTCTGGAAGTCGACGCGACAGCGGTAAACCTGTTGACAGAGCCGAAAAAAATCCAATAAAAAATATACAATAATGTAGCACACTTTGCGGGGCTGGGACTTGCTACTTACGCCCTCGTCATCCAGCTGTATATTGTCCACAGATAACTTTGCCGGCTGCTGTCCGGTAACGAAATACGCACGTGGCCCAAATGAGTTGGTGTCCGACCAGTAGAGGGCCTTCTCAAACGGCCGCCCCCGCACATCAAAGCTGTGAAAAAAAGGACAAGAGAAACGAAGAAAATTTCCATCACATAAATGTTAAAAGTTGCCTAAGTAGTTCTCGTTTCGGTATCTTCATCGCTGTGGGCAGGGGGAACAGGGAAATGCAAACAGAGAAATAAGTAAGGCAAAATAAAGCCAAAATATTGACGATAAGTTGTGTCACCAACGGGCGGGCTCTCCCCAAACATTTCTGATGTCGCCGCGTAGGTCGTAAATTTTAATGCGTTGCGGTGTGGCGGGGGAACCTTATGTTTGCAGCATAAAAAATGGCTTTGCCTCATTCCAGAAGCATTTTTCAGTTCAATGTTTACATGCGGTGTACCGACAGCACCTTTCCCCATCGAATTGTTCTTTTTGCCAACAAAAGAAAATTTAAAACTTGCGAAATGCAACCATGGAAATAATCCTTCCCTTCGAATGTGTACAATGGACATGGATAGGATTAACTGGCAAGGGTATCTATAGACTGGGCACTCGAAACAAGCTTATTTGTTATTGATGCTACCGATAAATATATATTTAATGTAACGACTAAAGGCATGGCTTAATTTTATAAGCTAAATTAACTCAATATTTAGGAGTGCTGAATGAATTAAAATCGGTCATGAATTCAGATAATTAATGTAAGATTAAGGGCATTTTGATTGGTCCTTTACGCACTTATTGCCCAGATGTTTGCCACATTACGATTCAGCTCATACGAGCTCAGAACTGGCGAATTGATTGCTTAATGCTTACGGGAACTGACGGCTTTGACTGTGTTACGAGTATACTTATAAACTTAAAGTTAAAGCCAAAGCGATGCTACTAAACAAGCCCGAAGGAAACTCATGGAGCCTTCAGCTATATTTATTTCCTGGTCAAGCCATAAATATGCGATAGAAAATGGTTGGGAGAAACGCTCAAGAGAAGTGGATGACTTGGGCCTGAAATTTCACGCGTCTACAAAATGACCCTTTTCCTGTGCCCGCTGACCCAACGCTGGCCATGGGAGCAGAGTTGCCAGAGGTGCCAGAGGTGGCAGAGCCAGCCCCGAGCATAAATTTGCACGCAACTAATTTCTTCCGTTTCGCATTATTTTCGCAGCCCGGCACGGCCCAGCCCGGCAACGTTTGCAATTTTGCGCATTAAAAAGCCTGACGTGCTATCTTTGGCGCTTTTATTGTATTTGTTAATGTCCGTCTGAGCGAGCGCTTGGGGTTCTGCAGGGCGCTGTGGCCCAACCCCCCCGGCGACACGCCGTAAATGACTTGGCGGAGGCAGGGCCCCTTCCCCAGCCAGTAGCCAGTACCCCCCTTCTATGCCACACCACAACGTCTTTGCACAGTCATCGCAAGTTGTGTCCTTTTGTTGTTTCCGCTGTCGTCGTGCAGTCTGTGCTATCTGTGGGACGGTCTGTTCTGTTCTGGTCTGGTCTGTCCTGTTTTTGGTGGCCCAGCCCACAACCCCAGCCCCCCAGTCGGCTTGGTTCGCTCACTTGCGGTTAGTCGAGCGGTTTGTCATTGTGCCGGCTGCCACTGCCGGGCTCTGCCTGCCTGGCGGCCGTATTGTTTGCGCCTTTAAGTGGTTTTTTATCATTTTGCCGCTGACACAATTTATATCCGGTGCTCATATTTCTTCTGCTTATCACTGGGCTCCCCTCCCGCCTGCCGCTTCTCGCTTCGTACTCCTCCACCCACCACCCAATGGGCTCTGCTCTGTCATGTGTTTGGCCCGCAATCCCCTCCAATTGTGTTCAAAGTGCAGTAAACCATGCGGCGAATAAATTACGCGTTCTAAGCCTTGCTTAAGCCATGCCCGCCGCCAAGGCACGTCCCCTAATTAGCTTAATTAAATATATGCTCGAAAATGTATACATAGCAGTAGAGCCGAGTACTCGTCTCCCCCTCCCCCCACCACCACAACGCGACTCCTACTCAAAAGGACTTCTTGAAATTTAAAAACAAAATTCCTTTTGAGAGCTGCTGTCCCTTTCGTTCGCTTTTAATTTTGCGCATTTGCAAACAATGGCGAAACGCCGTGCAGTCAACAATGGCGCTGAACAGCGCGATAAGGAAAGGTGGCCGGCCGGGAGTTGTCTTGGCGGGGCTGATTGGTGGGCTATTTCGTCCTGGTCTTAGCCTAGCTTGCCCTCTGTTGACGTTGTGTTCTCCCGTTGTTGGCCTTAGGAAACAATAATGCCAAGTTTGCACAAAGAAGGGAAGCAGACAGAGGGAGACACAGAGAGACACAGGGAGAGAGATGAACCGAGAACAAAACAGAAAAATAAACGCCAAATGCTCGAGCAGTAAAAATTGTAAAGCAGAAAAAGCAACAGAAAGCGAGAGGCAGGGACCAAAATAAAAATGGGCCAAGCCAGGAAAAGGAGACAACATTGTGGCAGTTGCAGAAATGCTAACTGTCGTCCGGGTGGACAAGACAAGAGGATAAGAAGAAGGCTCCCAGCAGTCTAGGGGACAAGTGGACGCAACCACGCGACGTCCGTTTGAAGAGTTTGCTTTGGGTCTTATTCATTCTCTCGTTCTTTTCTTTTGTCTCTGGCGCGCTCTTACGCCTTCTCTCCATCTCCATTGCCCACTCTCACGCTCACTTTTCTCTGGTTTTTGTTTTTGGTTTTTCCTTTTTTTTCCAACAATTAGTCGAGTTTTATTTATTTTGCGTTAATTGGTAGCACTTTATCTTCTGGCTGAATGAATGAGCTGCGCTCTTTAAACAAATCCCGAGGCGGACCTTGAACTGGTCATTCAATGGGTTTTGGCAATTACGTTTTGGTTTTTTCGGTGGCTTTGGCCAAAACTTTTCTCCAAAATCGCCTTTACCCCCCTTTACCACCTCCCCACCACACACATCCCTTTTCCTCATTTGTTTTCCCGGGAGCCCGACCTGCGACCTCAGGCCCCGCCCCGCCCCGAAATCCAATATCAAAGCAAGCTTCTCATATTGCCATTTAATGTTTTTCTTTTTTGTTCGTTCTTCAGTTTGTAACGCTTACAAAATCCTATTCAAAAAGATTGCAAAAGGGCTAAGCGAGGGGACGGGCCAGGAACGGGGACAGAGGCAGAGGCAGAGCTTGCCAGAAAAAGGACGAAAAACTTTTGCACTCACAATATCCATTGAATAATTTTATGACAATATGTGTCAGAGCGTGTCCGTGTGTCCATGTGTCCGTGTCTCGCTTTGCCCGTATGTGTACGGGTGCGTGCGTGTGTGTGGAACTCTGTCGGTATTTTCTGACAGTTTAAACAGATGCTGCTGTCGTGGGAATATTGTGGGGGCAACACGGTTCTCTCAAATACCTTATACCCCATACTGGATTACCAAGAAGAATAGATACCAAATGCGGGACATACAAGCAGAGGTAAACAATCTTCTCAATATTTGATAACAATATCTCTGCAAGCTGCAAGATATAAGCGATGGCAAACAGCTGCAATCGAATTCCTTAAATTATAGACAAATTCCATGAATCGTGTCAACGTAAGCGTGATAGGGAGGAATCAATTTTCCTTTCGAGAATAAAAATATTATTCGAATATTCAAGGATTATTAATTTGGCTATATATGTTTTTTGGTTATATGTATGCACCACTCTATTACAGGGTATAACTAGAGTTTGGCTTCCCATAACCTTATGGGAATGGAATGCAAAGGGGCAATAAACTATGAGGGCATGCGGGTCGCTTTTGCCACACAGTGTTCCCCCCTAAGGTGGCAGGAGGTTATCAACGTCCAAAATTAGACAGGTGAGAATGGGCTCTCCTCGCATATTCGTATATTGTCAGGCGGCCCGTATCAAATTATGCATAAAGAACCCTATCACAAGGCAGCAAGAGAAGTGGCAGCAACAATTTCATCGCCAAATCGCCAAAAAGTATGTTTCGTAACTCGACAAAAGTGGCAACAAATTTAAAATTGGTTTCCACACTCCCAGCCCACACACACACACACACACACACACACACACTCGTGCAAACAAAAGAAACGCAGCACCGAGAGAAATATGAAACAACAATAACACCGAAAAAGGGGCTGTTTACATTTACACGCCCCCCGCCCCCCATATACACGGGCACTCCGGGAAACAGACAAAAGTATGCAAATGGTTTTACTGCCCTATTGTTTTTCTTATTTTTTTTTTTTTTTGGTTTTCCTTATTTTTTGTTTTGTTTCTGTTTTGTTTTTTCCTGATGCCCAGTCCCTCCTTTATGTGTGTGTGGGTATTGGTGCTATTATGGAGCCATGCTGTGTAATATCTGTAAATTTCTTTTGTTATTGCCAACAACAGTTTTTCCCCCGAACCAGCAGTCCAGCACTCCAGCATTACTCCTCTCGCCACTACCCAATCTCCCTTCCCAGAGAGCCGTGTTGACATTTGTTGGCATCATTCCACACATTGTTGCCGCTGGTGTTGGTTTTTTGTTTGGTTTTCGCTTCATCTTCTCCTTAACTTTTACTATATAATTTGTAGCATATGAATATATGAAAGCATCCAAATAAAAGGAAACAAAAAAAAAATTGGTAGCTGATGAAAACAAAGAACGTAAACATCGTTGCCGTCGTCGCCGTCGTGCTTCGTGGCCAAGTTCAAATTTATGCAGTGTCGCCCAATAAATTTCGCAATAAATTCAAAATAAAACTTTCATCTTGGGTTGCCTATTTCGTAGCTGGTTCTTGTTCAGAGGTTGCCGCAGGTTAGGTTTCTTGGGTGTACCGAACCCTATCTTTAGTCTGGATATGAATTAAGAGTAAAATAAATCATGGAAAGAAGAGAACTGAAACTGAACATCGCATTATGTTCTGTTGATCCGTAAATAAGATTCTGCTGATGATATTCTATAGCTACAGAGAGTACAAAATGGCTGGAAATCGCTCTGAACATTCCATAGAAAGGTAATGGGTAATAGATATAACCAAACCAATTTGGTAACTTTAAAATTATCCAACCACTCTGACAATTTGCAATTAGAAACAAATTCTTCGTTTCCAATTACCAAATCGAAGTCATTAAAAGTTGAAAACGGACGAAAAGGAATTTTCGGTAATCTCTTTTTCGCCTTTGAATGCACAATCAGTGCAAAGATTCGGCCATCGGACGTTCCACCATTTCCGGGTGACCAAGTGGTGAGGCGACAAAGAAAATCCTGACATTGGCATTTCTCAGTCCGTGTGCTGGGGCATGTGGATGGGGCAATGCAAACCAAACCAAAGTTTAGTGGCGGCAAAATCGATTTGCATGCGCCGCTTGCATTTCCGTACTCGCACTCGCACTCACACTCACACAGGCACACATACACATTTGCAACTTAATTACAGTTTTAAATATCCCATCTAACCTGAAATTTGCGCAAAGTGCCGCACAGTTTCCGTGGCTGTTGGCGATGCCTGATGCCGCTTGCCGCTTGCCGCTCGTAAAATGCCCCGAAAATGCACTCGACTTAATTGCCTTTGGCTCGACTTTTGGTTTTCCCCTCGAAACTCCGCCCCTGAGATCCTCTGTACCTTCCTATGCCTCTCACCGTGATTCCACTGCGCCATCTTCAGCTCATTCGGCCTGGAGCTCTCTTCCGTCTGCGTTGGCCTTTATTGCCAGCCATTTTGAATACCATTTTGTGGTTTATTACTTTTGTGGTAGAGCGATTCCGATTCTCAAGTAGTACTGCGGCATTCCACACACTCACACTCACACACACAACACACGACACACGACACGACCTGTCTGAAGTGAATGCACTTTCGTCTGCCGCATTCCGCGCACGCCGTATTCCATCCCGTGTGTGGACGCGCAAACCGTATTTAACGGCACTGGCAGTGGCACTGCTGCCGATTATGGCAGTTAGCGTGGCACACGGATTATCCCGCTTTTGACAGCCAGTTCCTCGTTCTCCAGCTCACCTCGGTACAGTCCTGTTCCGTCCAGACCAGACCAGAACAGACCAATCCAATCCAGCAACACCGATACCGTGCTCGCAGCGAATTTCATTATTCATGCCTCGCAGCCTACGGGCAGCAGCCAACCAGCTCTAGGCGAGCTTTAAAAATCAATTAACCTTGATTGTGGCCCAGGCTTAAAGCCCATTGTAACCAACCATTCAATATTTAAACAGGGTAGTTGTGGATATACTTGGACATACTCGTATATGGCTGTGTAACTGCATCAGTTGGGCATATGTAATAATCACTATCCCTCTCAGTACTACATATATCATTTAAGGATAAGAACCAAACAGGAACAGTTATATTTAACCTTTAGCCTGTCTTTGGCTGACGACTCTTTGTTCTTGTTTTAAAGCATCTTCGTACAGGGTATACTTTAGCCATTAGACAAGTCTTGCCTGGAGCGCTCTTATTTGCTTTTTTTTTTGTATTGATTCTCCAATTGCTGTTGGCATTTCCGCTTGCCTTTTGTTTATTATGTAGGCTTTGTGGGGAGTGGGGCGGACGTGGCGGAGAGCAGCTTGACTGCTATGGTTGCCATTGCCATTGATGGCCTGCAATATTGAACGTGACAGTTGGCCCGTCGACCCAGAGAGCTCACGCCCTCTCCTCGTTACAGGTGGCTGTCATGGCAAATGTTAATTTTAATAATGGAAGGGCCACCGACCCACCGCCACACGATTTCCGCTCTGCTCCCTTTTGTCTTTATATCGCTCACGATTCATAACAAATAAATATATAAAAATCTTATGAAAATCGCATTTCAAAGGTCAAAGTCAGCAGAAGCAAATCCCAGCGAGCAATCTGAGCCATAAAAATGAACCCGAAAACCCGAAATAGCCTAACCCTAACAACAAATGTCTGTCTGTGTGTCTGTCTGTCTGTCTGGGCCGCCTGAGCTTGTCCGCGAGCAGCCAGCCAACAACAAAGCAAAAGTTAACATTATAATTTTTAATATTTTTGCTTTTAGCCTCCTGGGCAGGACATCGTTTTTTTGTTTTGTTTTTTTTTTTTTTTTGGGCCAGACCGATTCTCCAGCTCAGTCTTTGTGGCTGGGTGTAAAGCTGTCAAATGCAGGGCAGCTCCTAGGAAGAAGAGCTTTTCCATGGGTAACTCTGTGTGTGTGTGTGTGTGTATGTTTCTATGTTTTTGTGTCGGTACGTGGTAGGTGAGGCTGCCAGCTGTGACGTGCCTTTGGAAATGTAGCAAAGCCTCTCCCACATCCACACGCACACCCACACTCGAAAGGGATTTATGTACACATATCCCAACCATGGCAAAACCTTGAGGGATCCCCTCTTTTTTCGCCTCTCACATGCTGCTTTCAATTTCAGCGCCTTTTCGGTTTTAGCTTTTGGTTTTGATTCTTTTCTAAGCCCCGTTTTTGCCACCCCCCCATCGCCCCATACTGCCTTCGATTTCACGCAGCGCTGGCAATTTTATGCCGCAGCCAAAGTCCTGGGCCCGACGACTCTTTTGCCTTTTCTATCCTGCCTGTCGCCTGCCTGTAGTTTAGCTGTCTCTTGTGCAGCTGCTGCTGTTGGTGTTGGTGTTGCTGTTGTTTTCGCTCTTGTTATTTATTTGCTTAAATTTTCCTCCTTTGCTTTCATTTTTTTTCTGGTTGTTGTTTGTGTGGGTTTGCTGCAAGGGAAATCGAATTCAAATCACTTTCGGATATTTTTGGTTATAAAGTCGGAAATTTTTGCGACATTATTGTTTTTGACATTTTTCTCCGTTTTTTATTTTGTTTTATTTCTTTTGTATTTTTTTGGAGAAACATTTTCCTCCTTTTCCTTGTTGCCGGATTTCCTCATCTTTTCCTCCTTTGTCTGTGTGTCTGTCTCCGTAGCACTGAAATTTATTGCTTCCAATTGAGTGCACGAAATAGCAACAACAATACGAGGCTGGATCTGGAGTAGAAGTAGGAGTAGGGGTAAGAGAAACAGCAACAGCAACAGCTCGTGAACAGCTCGCGCTCGCCCTTGATATACACGTGCGTCCGTGTCCATGTCCATGTCCATGTCCATGTCGCTGTACCTATCCCCTGTCGTTGTCTCTGTCCCTATTCCTGCCCCAATCTCTGTATGTGTCTGTCCACCCGCACATCCAAGCCCGCTGGTAACATATTGAAAAGGAAGCACATGTAAGCAAAATTGACAAGGCTAAAGGATATCGATGTCTGCTTATAATGTGCAACATATTAAACCTAAGCACACGTTCGCAGAGCTCGCTCTATAAATAACAGCAGCAGCAGCAAGAGCTGCGGTAGGAGTAGCCCCATCAGCGGAGGCGGAGGCGAAGGCCCCGCAGGACTCTCCTATAATCAAAGCTGCCGCCAAAACAGTTTTCACTTTGGATGCCATTATTTTTGCTGCCCTGCCCCTCACTTCCCTCCATTTACTGCTGCTGCTGCTCATGCCACGGATGTCCTTTGCTTGGGGCCCTGTGGCTAATATATGAGTCCATGTCGCCCTGTTTGGCCTGGCATGGCATGCCTTTGCTTTTGTTTTGCTTTGACCCAGGCCCAGGCCCGAGCCCCCCAGTCCTGGCCCGGGTCTAGGCATATATGAGGCCAGTAGACTCCACTCCGACTCGAGTTGAGTTGAGTTGATATTGATGATGTTATTAAAATAATAAATTATTTGAAAATTATGAACTGCTGCCATTTCTCATGATGCTGTCGTGCTCAATGAGAAGGTGGAGCAGGGCAGGGCGCGTATAAATCAAAGGTGGCCAGGACCCTAAGCTTGAGCGGAACTTCTGTCAACCACACACTCACACTAACACACTCACACACTCCCACACAAAGCTCAAAGAGACTATAAAATTAGCAGATGAATAACCTTAATTCATACGAGTTGGGTTTTTGGGTTTCTCGTAGCAATCCTTCCTTACCTGTAAAGTGGTTTGCCAGCACTCTCACGAAACCATAGGACCATATACACACGATCGTCCTTAGCCTCCGGCTCGATGTCGCACGGCAGGGATGCGGTGCGTCCCAGTACTGCCTCCACGGCCACTGTAGAAACTGCAAGAGAGAAAACACAATTATGAGCATCATCATTGTCGTTCGAAGGTGCAATTGAATGGAATTGTTAGCCCCATAAGAGACGGTGGGAGGGAGGTAGGGGGCAAGTGGCAATGTCATGACAAAACTATTGCCAAAGTCATTAACACAATATGAAAATGTCCTTTTTGTTCAGCGCTGTGCTGGGGTGTTGCCGCAATTACTTGGACTCCTTCGTCGATTTCTTACAAATGTCAACAAAACGCTGCCTTTTAAGTGTCACGTTGACTCTGACTTCGCAGAGGTTGCCACAACGTTGAGCACGCAAGGCACCAACCGCACGACAACCAACCTCCAGCCCAGACCCAGTCCCAGCGCCAGCCCCAGCCCTAGAAATGGCCCAAGCCCAAGTCTAACCCCCTCCTAACCGCAATAGCCGCTACCGTTCATCGACGTTGTCGTTGTCGTCGCTGTCGTTGTAGTCGCATAATCACAACCAAGTACGTGAGTGGGAATATTAATGCCAAATTGACGGCACCCGACAACGATGACGTCGACAATGATGATGACGATGGCTATGGCCGTCCAGGCGACTGGCTGCGATTTCACGGCAGTCTCATCTTTTGCATTTAAACTGCCAATTGATGTCAGTGAAAATAGATAAATGCTAAGGGCGGCGCAGCTTCAGGCTCGGGGAGCGCCGCCAAACAGAAGATCCAATTCCAATTCAATCCAATGCAGTCCAATCCAATCCAAGCAAATGACAATGGATTAAAGCTGGCGACAACGGGCAAACTGTTTTCATTGCTTACACCGTTAAAGTCACTCATAGCTACCGATTGTCTGTCGGTGCCGCTAATTGTCCATTGGCGTGAGGAGGATCAAACTGGACGCAGAAGTGGGTGAGGCTGTTTGGTTAGTTTCTGCTACCACAAGTCGTTAATTAATAAAAGAAATATGAACTGTAAATGCATATCCATCAATCAACTCGACGAAAACAAAAACACATAAATGAACACCAAAGAGTTGTGTGTCCTTCCATATTGATTTGTAACATGGAACAGTGTGAACAAAACAAACACTACAACCTTACGCTTAGGGCAAGCAGAGGACAACAAGATGGCCAACTAAATGCAGAGGATGTGCCAACTAGAGCAGCAATAACTAGACTTCGAAAGGAAAAGGAAAGACCTTTGCTTATTAGAGGTTCTACAGGTACATTCTTCTTGGGATTCTTATCTCAAATAAGCACCATAAACGAGCTCTCAGATCACAAAATTAGGAATAGGAATCTCTTAGCCTGTGAACACCACGAGCACGAGCATTTTTATTTCAATTGAATTCCCTTGGTGTAAATCAGAAAAAAAGAGATATTCTCTAAAGATTGACGTTCTCTTTACGACCACGCATCGATTTCTATATCGTATGTATGTGCATGCGGTGGGAAATTGAAAATTCAATTGCTCACCTGTCCAGCTGTCAAAACCCAGAAACTCGAACACATCCATCATGAACCTATTTTACAGCCTGATGCTCATTAATACCCAAAAGGGAGCCTCGCAATCATGTTACGCGTAATTTAATTTCTGCAGCCACCGCCATCAAACGAGCGAACGCCCAGAACGGAGCCGAAGCAACGAAAAGGATCGAAAGGAATACAAAAATATGGTGCGAGCAATGGCAGCCCAGGACATTTCTCAGCTTGCAGACGATGCCAAAAAATTGTTGACATTTATTTAATATGCGCACGTTTTATAGAAAAGCAATTCCCAGTCGGATAATTTATGGCACACTACAGAAATTTGCACATGAAAACGCTCCCAGTGCCCCACCAAAAACAGACGCACGAGCGGTCGCCCACGCAGACAGAGGGACAGACAGAATCAGGCACACCAATGTACACATGTACACTGTACATCTATGTATGTGTAGGTACATGGATGTATCGGTGTGTGGGCTGTCGCAAAACATGGTAGCAATTTTCGTGCGTTTGTAATTCCCATGTAAGATGTCAAATGCTCAACGAGTAGACAGAGCAGACAGACACAGTTAGGCCCTCTATCAGTTAGCTGCTGTCTCCCCCGGTCCCCAGGCGAGTGTCGACAGTGGGCTGCAGCACCAAATTGACATAATTTGTGATATGCGCCTCCGACGCCGCCTCCATCATCTTCATCATCGTCCTTGCGTGGTTCTCGTCAGCTTCAGCGTCCTCCTCGTCGTCGTCGTCGTCGTCGTCGTCAGCGCTGTGCGCGCAAGCGTAAGTGTGTAATGAGTGATTTGCCCGTGAGGCACACATGGGAATCGTGGCAGAAGGGAGATAAGGCAGCGAATGGAGGGAAGGGGCCCAGCTCCACACCATTCCCATAGACCACAGAATCAGGCAGCTAAAACCAACTGCCTGGATTTGGGACAAAGTGGCGCGTGCTGCGGCTTAGGTGGCAAGTTGCTTCTGAGGTCACGGGCCTGGGGAGCCGCAAGAGGCAACAGTTCAGATGGACAAATGTCGATGTCTCCCACTATCTACATTCACGTGTATACCTCTGGGGCATGGGTGTGCGTGCGAGTAGGTAAATAGGTCAATTCAGGATTATTAGTGCAAATCGTAACAAATAACTATTCAAGGAAAGTTATTCGAAAACTATTATTCTTTCAATCCGTCATGACATGTCAGGCCTTGGCACTTTTTGAATTTACTTTGCAACGTGAACTCTGGGGATAAATGTAATTATATTTACATTTAGTTTGCCCCTCATCACTGATGGAATTAAACAATATCAAACTTTTTGTTTTGTGGGACACTCGTCTTATCAAATTCAGACTTTCTTAATTTGTGTCTTCTCTTTCTTTCCCGTACACTATAAGCATTATGCGGACATTCTAAATAATCAAATAGGAGAATGACAACGAAAACAGATTGGAGATTTCCTTCACATTTTCCTTGGTTCCCTTATACAGCGTCAACTTTTCCAGTGTCATTCCAATTTTGTATGCTGGCTAAAGCAGAAAACAAACACAAATTTCATTTTGTTGCATGCTCTTGTGGCGCTTGACTCTGCTCCATCTTCGTTTCATTTTTTTTTTTTGCTTCTTCTATTTTTTTGTTATGAAAATTGCCAACAGCTAGGCAACACATACTTAGCACGCACAGAGCCAGAGCCGGAGCCAGAGCCAGAGACCCCATGAGTGGATAGATAGGAGAACGCATACAGGCTCACTCTCTGGCACGTCGTTGAGCGCACTTGGGTTATGCACATAGTATTTATATTTATATAGAAAAGTCTCATCGCTCTCACTCTCTCTCTCTCTCTCTCTCTCTCTTTCTGTATATAAACGAAAGAAGCTGTGAAACTTATGCAAATTGCATTTCAGTGTCTGCGCAAAAGCCAACTCGACACAAAACACAGCGTAGCAGAAGCAGAAGCAGAAGAACAGCAAGAAGAAGCGACGCGCCGAGGCAGCATCAGAAGCGCCTAAAAGTATGCAATGCTAACGCGGCCTGCTGCAAAAAGTTGTAGAAAATGCGCATAATGAAATCCATGGCTACGTTTACGCTACGACTCCAGCAGCACCGGCAGCTTCTTAGCTTGGCTTGACTTGGGCATGCTTGCCTTTCCACGTTCCAGTTTCGCGGCAAAGCTGATTCTGCTTCTACCACTGCCACTGCCACTGCTGCTGCTGCTGCTGTTGTTGTTGTTGCTCAAGAGAGCTCCAAAGTTTTTCTTCTCGTTTCACGCTACAACCACAAGGATGGCGGCAACGACATCGCCGAGCCCTGAGCATGGTAATTTCTGCAGGTCTTGGATGCGAGTGTGTGTGTGTGTATGCACTTAACTGTAGACACTTGTAAAAATAGTGTGCGACTATATAGCAGCCACTGACGTTGTCGCTGGCGCCGACCCTGGCCAACGCCAACGGTAAAGCAGGTCACGTGTGGCATAAACGTGCCATTGCGTCAGTCGCTTCTTCTTCTCGTTGTTGTTTCTGTTGTTGCATTGTTATTGTTGTCTTGGGTGTGGGAAAATTCCTTAAATAAATAGCTATGTACGAGTGTCTCTGTGTGTGTGTGTGTGTGTTTTGGTGTGTGCGTGTATTAAGATGAGGATGTTGTTCTCGCAGCACTCTCACACGTGCATGCTGCTCGTCGTATGTGTTTGTGTAATTGAGATGAAAGTTAATGGCCAGCATAGCATACTTTTGAGCGCCCAAATCGCAAGCTAACAAAATGCCAGACAATGCCAGACTGTGCGCCAGTATGTGCGATATATGTACATATGTATGTGCGTGTGTTTGTGTGAAAGTGAATGCCAACAAAAAGGCATTGTTGTTTTTGCTGCTGCTGTAGGACTGCCTAAGTGGCACAAGGTAAAGTCGCATTGCTGCTGCTGCTGCTGCGGCTCTGCATCCGCCTCTGGCACTGGCTGTGGCTGTGGCTCCGGCTCCGGCTCTTGTTCGTGCTCTGGCACAGGCATAGGTGTTCTGGCGGCTGAGCCACGCCCTCATTTTGTTTGTGGTGCAAATGTGTGTATGTGTGTGTGTTTGCACTATTTGCACTAATTTAGTTGAAAACAAACAAAGTCCTTTGTTCAATTTTCGCCTCTCAGATTGAAGCGCCACGAGAGTGGAGAGAACGAGTGAGATTCTTGGCCAAAGGGCGCATTTGAGCTGCACTGCAGCTTTGTGCAGCAACAAAAAAAAACAACGAAGAACAAGAGCCGGTGGCAAGTGTTAACCTATTTTCCGCTTGCCACTTACACTCTCTCTCTCTCTCTGTCTTACTTCGAGTAATTAGCAAAAGTATTTTTTGTTTTCTTATATTTTGCATAGACCTGCAATTAAGTGTAAGCTCTGGTGTCTTTCCATCTGGCCTTGGGCGGCATCAGGCAATTACCATGTCAATTGACAGGCCCGAGTCAACAAATTCAAATTCAATTTCGACATAATAATAAATAATATGCCAGGGCCAGGAACAATCGTGACAGTCATGATAGCAGGCAGAGAGGCAAGCAGGCAGGCAGTCAAAA